TAGGTTGTCTAGGGCTCTTGTTGTACTTAGCTGGAGTAGAGAAAAATACATCGACCTCATCTTCCTGGAAGCAGATGTCTCCCAAACTCGTTTTTAATCACTTTGGAAGGGCCAGTGTGCTTAAAATTGCTTAAAATTCAAAGTACTGTAAAGTCAGTGTAGGAGAGAAATCATAGTCTATTGTCTGATTTCATTCATTGTTTCAAATTAAGAAATCATTTTAAAGTCTATTTAGGGGAAAGATTTTATTTGAATTTTCTCTCTATGCATTTTTATGACATACCTCCCTGTGCATTCAGTACAGTGTCCTGTGGGCTATGTACCAAGATACAGATCCCTTCAGCCCCCTGGGTAGCCATCAGGGCCCAGGACAGCACAAACCTGTGTTCTGTCCAAATATTATCACTTATATGTGTGCCATGAGGTGAAAAGGGTGAGCAGTCCTGGTTAAGAAAACATAAGAGTGAAAAAAATAAAAAAAAACAAAAAACATAAGAATGATCTTATAGCCCAAATAAGAGTAAGGAGCTCCCATCTGTGGTGTGTTTTTAAGCTCTGCTCTCAGCAGTGGAAATAGGCACAGAAATGAGTGAGTAGTTCTCATTTCTAGGCTAAATAGATGGGTCTTTAATCTTTCCTTACCAAACAGTGAACAAATCAGAGTTAATCCCCAGAAATCAAGAATTTTGTGGTATCTCCCGTCTTCACCCAAATCACCTTCTACCGTGTTCTTCAAAGACTGATATCTTCTTCCTGGGTAAAGATGAGTTTTTATTTCTAAGCTTCTGATTTGACTTCTCTTCTAAACTCAAACACTGATGTATAGCCATGGCTGGAAAGATTAGAATTATTTTGAACTTTGAATATTTCTTTTGTTCCATAGGTGCCTGGGTGTATCTTACCAGCTCCCCAGCATTGCCAGCCTGTGCCACGAGTGGATTATGCCTCTGATGATATCCCACCGTGGGGTTCTCGTATATACTCTGTCTAGGTTTATCTTCTACAGCACCACAGGCTGATTAAAGAACCCTTTCCCAACCACAGGGCTCCTGTTTGTTAGCCTCCTACACTCTTTCATCACTCGTGTTATCCTCTCATTTCAATCTATATTCAATCTGATTTCATATTTCTTGAGCTTTCCAAAATTCTGTAGACGATCTCCACCCAGTCTTATCTAGCCTTATTTTTTTTAATTCACCTTCCTTTTGTTATCTCCACTCAAACTCATCATTTTTTTTTCTTCTTTAGTCTTTACATTTCCTGAATTTTTGCTAATAACCTTGATCTTCAGCAGTCAAACTCGTTACAAACTAGGCACCCTTCATTTTTATTTGGTATTTAATTCTGTTCCTTATGTCAAAGGAAGAAATGTATGTGAAAGCCTTTTACAAACCAGAAAGCACTATATACTCGTATAACTTATTGAGATTCACAAAGGACCACTGTGCTTCTTTTCACGCTTTCTGCTCCTTTGGAGCCAAAAGAACTTCTCTGTAGCGTAGGGAAATATTGAAGAAAAATAAAGCAATGGAATTGTCTCTTAGCAACCGAGTTCGTGCCTTATAAATCTTACTTTAGATTACTGCTGCTCAAAATCACTTGCTTTTCTTACTGGCTCAGTACAAATAATGTTATTAAATTATAGGAAAACAAAGGAAAAAAATCTAATGATTGAGTCACTCAGTTCATCGATTGTGCTCTCTCTTTGCATAGCACTATTGATGTTGTTAGATTGTCTCTTCCTCTTGATTCAAATTGTGAAACTTTTTATTAATATATCTTTTGTTACAACTTAAGTTATAAACTCAGTAGAAGCTAAATACCACCTTATACATTTCTAGGTTACCTGGGTCATATAGAGGTAATATATGACATGTACCAAATAGAAATCAGGTCATGCATAGCTTAGAAAATCAGGTGTACAAAACTCAAACCAAATTGGGGTATGATCATTTGCATTATAAAATAATTCCTTATAAGGATTCTTCAAATAGTAGATCTTCAGAGTATATTTCTTTAGCAAATAGTTTTGAGTGCCTCCTACACTAGACAATGGAAGGGATAAAGAGTGTGTGCGCGCGCGCGCGTGTGTGTGTGTGTGTGTGTGTGTGTGTGTGTGTGTAAATAGTCCTGGTACATAAGACTTGCACACAAATAAGGCAGTACAATGATATGTGCCTTGTGAGTGGTAAGCCAAGCGCTGTAGAAGTTTGGAGGAGGGCAAGGTCACTCCCAGTTGGGTGAGCTATTATGATTCCATGGACAACGGGACATGTTAAGAGAAACAAAGAGGAGCAGAGAGTTTGTCAAGTTTAGTAATTAAGGGAAGATGGAAGAGGTAGGCAAGATGTAGGTGCCTTCAGCACTCAAGCAAGGAGCTTAAACTTGAGTCAGTAAGCAATAGGGAGCCACTGACATTTCTTTGTAATCGAAATCTTGCCTAGGAAAATTTATCTTGCAGTGATGCATAATTTCAATTTTTTTTTAAAAGGTTGGTTCACTGATAGCCTTTTAGACTCCTTTTGTATAAAACAAAGGCGTGTTTATAAATCAGTCAACTATAGAACTGATTCATTTCTAGTCTCTTTAAAAAAACTATTTTCAGATAAAATTAGCCCTGGTAAGATAAGCTGCTTAGTTAAGATATAAACATTATGTGAATGGGGTAAAACTACTTTTCATACTTTCTAAAGTCATTTTTAGGGAATTTTGTGTCGATTAGTCAGCCGCTGCCTACTGTCTCATTTCTCCAACTAAAATAATGCAGAAATCCTCCATTTTCTTTTGTTTTCTCCTTACTTGGATAGATTGAATGTCTCTGAAAAGAGCTTATCAATAGCCCTCTTAGATTTGATCTTAATTTTGCCAAATATTTGTATGCTTCTGCAAAATATGTTGTTTTCCCTGCCAAACGGTAAAAGTGACAGCCTACTTCATGGGGTTGTTGAAGGCCTTGCTGGGTGCAACATGGAGTGCTGTATCAATGCTCTGAAAATGCTGATTATTGATTGAACTTTAGACACTTTGTTAGTCGAAACCGCTATAGATGGGAAATGTAATGCTTTAATAATAAAGGCTATATAATAAGGTTGGCTATTGTTTTCCATGCGTAATATGCCTTGGGGAATTTTGAGCATTAAAATGGTTCCCACCTGCTACTATTAAGGAAGTAACACTTCCTACATATTTACCTCACGGTGAAATTGCGTTTTTAAAACAACACAACTAGAGACGCGATATGTTTTTGTGAGCATATGAGAAACCAGGAGGTTGGGAATACTACTCCCGGCCCAGTTGTGAAAGTGCTATGTCACTGGACAAGTCAATGGTTTTTTTTTGGACCTCAGTTTTCTGATGAGACTGCCTGAAGCTGCCATAGCCAAAAGAGACCGCCATCTCAATACATGCAACTGTAGGGGATTCAAGATCGTCTAAGCAAACGCTATTATGTAAAATAGCTTAAGAAAAAGATGGTGGGGTGCCGAACAGCACACTGTTAGATTAGCCCTATCTTGTTCCCCCATTGCACTGACCATCAAGTTCCCGCGAGAGTTCAGAGTTGCCGGGGAGAGGGATGTGTGTGTCTAGGAAGAATTCGTGATTTGCACTCTGGCGATCTGGTCACGTCTCAAGTCAATTCCAGCCTGAAGAACCTAGAAAAGATCGTACTTGGTTCTAATCCTGGCCTTTTGTGCTGTTTGGACCTCTTCTGAGACGTTCCAGTGCCTCTTACGAGATGGCTCAGGCAGCTACGTCTCTCTAAGCTTTTGGAAGGATACAGCCTGGCCGGAGGACTAACTACACTGAGTCCTGATCCAGAGAGTGTGTGTGTCTTCAGATGAAAAAAAAAAAAAAACTCAGTGGAATTTCATTCCATGATGAATTCCTGGTAAAGATTTAATAATAACAAATGACATAAGTTGTTTTTTTGAAAATGTATTTTGGGTTTCAGAGCAAGACTTTTCTCTCTCTGCTTCTGATTTAAACACGAAGAAAAATTCAGAATTAGTCCCTAAAAACATCAGTTCATGCCATTAATTGGAAGCATTTCTTTTATCTGACATTGGGACTGAATCTGACTAGGCTTAAAAGGTAGGGGCACAATTTTAGAAATGAGAAATTATTTTGAATATTTTCCCTCTTTGCTATATACCTTTCAGGTGCCAACTAGAGCTCGCTGTGTTGAACTGGACCAAATTGAAGCATGCCCAGTAAAACATAATTACCACTGGCTTGAGAGCTAGACTTGAGTTCATTCAGAAACCAGAGTGATCCTGGCCCAGTTTTAATGTGCGAAAACTCTCCAACCCACGTTGGCGAGAACCTCGTATTGCAGAACCAGGCTATAAAATATGAGGGCTGGGGAGTCCACAGGGTGGGAATCTGCTGTTATTTCTCAGCAAACCCAATCCCCGGTGTGACCTGGTGTACAGACTGTGTGGTCTAGTTTGGGCTGCAACATCAGCACAAATTATGGAAGGCCAAGTTCAGGAAAGAGGAAAACCACAAGCCTGAGTGGAGAGGAAAGGGTTGCTTGGATAGCCACATCGGCACATTTTAGACATTCAAAGATCATTGCTTTTTTCTTTCTCCTCTGTGCAATCTTCCCCACAAAAAGATTATGGGTGAGGGGGAATAAAAGGAGGAAAGCCTTGGCTCAAAAAAGGAAAAAGTGTGTGTGTGTGTGTGTGTGTGTGTGTGTGTGTGTGTGTGTGTGTGTGTGTGAAGTGATCATCTGTACTGCCTGGGACTTCGTGATGTTTATTGAGTGTACACCCCAGCTGAAACATATTTGACCAAAACGTTTTCTTTCATTACTCATCTTTTAATGATGCTGTATAATCCAAAAGACTATTACTATGCGTGGCCCCTTTGCCTCCTGCAGTTCCGTAAGAACAGGACAGGAAGGCTTAGGGAATCCTTGTCCTCCATTCTGTTGTCACAGTATTACTCTTTTCATCTCATTAAAAACATATCTAAAATCCTTATTCTCTTTTTAGGTAACAGTATGACTAAATACATTGAGAAGCTAGAAGAGATCAAGAAAAGTGAGTAACACGATTGATGGGCTAGGGTCATGGAACCCTGCAGTCGTTCTAGAAGCTGGCTTCTTAACTCCCCTTATTAATAACTACTTATTAACCGTACTCTACAGCTGACACACTCAGACAGCTAGGGGTGTCAGGAGAGCCTGGCTGGTGCCTGGAAAGTGTGGGGAACACTTCACCATCCTGGCTAGCTGCACAGATTGTGGCTTCCAGGTCAAGTTCTGCCTGACTTGGGTCCCGTAAGAGGTGTTAATGTTAGAATGTGGAACGAGATCTGGTTCAGCAGTGAGAACCTGAGCGTCCAGTTTCATTGTACTGCAGTCTTTGTGGGCTTTTTCAAGGTACTTCATCTGTCTTGTTTTCTTATTTTCCCTATACCCAAGGCCGGAGGAATAATATCTCTCTCATTCCATAACATTCTTTTGAGTGTAAATTAGATAGTATTCATGAAAGACTTAGAGATGTGAGAAAGAGCTTATTCTTAAAGTGTGGTGGTGTTACGCATTATAAATTCAGTGCAGTCTGCTTTCTCTTAATTAAAAATCATATTTCATGAGCATCCTTTTTTTAAAAAAAAACACTAATCTTCTGCAAAGACATGCTTGCTACTAGCCATTGAGTGCGTCACCCTTGCACAAAAGCATCATTTTTCAATCTGTGTCCAAAACGGATGTAAAATGTACACATCAAGGCCAGAATTAAAGAAGTAGAAACATCTCTTTTCTAAGATGGATTTGCTCATATTTTCAGGAGGAGAGCCCAGTGCTAATGGCAGTAACAGGGTGCTCTGACTGCTAGCAGTTCAGGACTTGGCTCTGGTCTACACCTCTGGGAAGAGGCTATTACAAATCCAGAATTCACCAGAACTTTTGTTTTTACACAGCAGGCCTTTTAATTTAAATGATAATGTTCCTGTTCCTTGTGAATTGCTGAGAAGCCCCCAGATAATAGACATGGACTGTGGAGCAGCTTCTGCTGACTGCGATTTGCCTTGTCAGGCTCTAAGGGCTAATGCAATAGACTTTTGTTTTTTAATATGTAATGTCATGGTAGCCTTCTCTTTTCTTCTTACATAGTCTATGTTCTATCTTATATATTGCATTGCATTTTATATAAGTATGTATATTTTAAGTATATATTAAAATTTTAAACTATGCAAAAAACCTTATTTACTCACCTAGACTTCATGGTTGTCGTCCTTAAGTCATCTGTGGCAGGCAGAATTCAGCGGGCCTGCTTCACTTTCAACTTGTAGTCTCTTTCAACCTCCTGTCCATTTGTAGCTGAGTGCAAGCTCACCTGTCCACACCAAAATTTGTCCCATAAAAATGTGTCATTGCACCTAGATTGTAGAAACCCCGTTTAAAACATTTCTTAAAAGCACAATGTGGTTTCTTTAGTAACTGAACTCTCAATGGGGCTTATCTCCCCAAAGAAATAGCTCTGGAATGGAGTCCTTGCAAATGCTTGCCTCCCTCTTTAGAAGTCGAGGGCTTCCTTTTAGTAAGACAGGAGGTTCCTCTCACCTTGCTTCACACACTTTGTGCTGATTCCCCGACTAGAATTACTGCAGATTCTGGTTTGGGATCTACATGTTGGAAGATATTTCCTTCTCTTTTCCCCATTTTCTGTTGAAGGTGTTGTTTTGGGTCAAAAGGGAGGAGAATATTGCCTTGTTTCATGACACCCTAAACCCATCACTTTTCTCGGGTTACCTTAGATGCCATGTCTTTCTGTGAAATCACAAACCTTGTTCTGTTACTTCCTTTGATTTGTCTTCCACTGTGAGCCCAACTTCCCTTTGCTAATAACGTGTTTTAACAGCACCCTGAAAACGCAGAATTCCTTTGTAATCTGAATATTCTTTCAACTCTGCCTGGGGAAAATAGACACTCTGTGTCTATTGACCGTTTACAAAGCCTATTCTTGGTTTCTGGTGGTTAGATGACACTAGTTGGACCCAGTGTGAAACATCCTAGATAGTCAGGCCTCTGTCCTTCCAGTAACTCGAGAGAGACAGACTTCGACTCCAGACTTACTGGAGAAGCAAAACTTGATAACATTTCTGAAACTAGGGTTATTTGTCTCCATCACGGAGCTTGGGAGAAGTGACAGTGGCAGAAGCGCCCATTCTTAAAGCCCTGTTCGCCCTTGAGAGGACAGACTGACAGAGCTTTCCAAGTCTTCCTTTTTAGAAACTTTAAAACTTACTGTAAGACGTCTAGTTTGATCTTTTATCTCTTGAGTAATAATGTCAGAAAGTCCTAATGATGGCTGTCCTTCTAAACCAGAACCAGGTATGTAGAGTTCAGGCTCAAATGAGGAGCGGGGTTGCTAGTGCTTGCGAGAGGATGCTAGAAATGCCAATCATTCGAATGTAGCAGAGCCTATTTTTTTGTCGGAGGTAATTTCTACTTAGTTCAAGGGGATGTTAATGTGTACTTTTTGTATTTAGAATGTGAAGAATTGGCGAAGTATTTCAAACTATGTCGCCATACCAAAGGAGTATCAATGGATAAATGGCATCGTGCAAACGGCTTGAACGCGGTTGACTGTTTTCATTGGCTGATTTATTGCCATTTTGATTTACATAAATTATTTTTGGTGGGAGGTTGGTGGCAATTGAGGGGAATACTGTAGTTGTTCAGTTACACTTCGTATAGCTCGTGCTCATCTATTTGGGTCTGTATCCTGGCGGGTTTTAGAATCCTTTGCATCTAGGTGTGTTTTACCTCGTTGTATCTAGAAGAAGCTGTTCTGAGAATTTTCTAGAAGTAATGGTCAGTTATTAGCCAAATTTTTCTCTTTAAGACATTTTAGGGGGGCGGGGGGAAGACATTTTAGGACAGAGAAGCTTTAATTTCCTGTAAGAAAGAGCCTTGGTATATTTACAAAGACTGATTTTTAAGGTACTATCATTTCCTAACTCTTGAGTTGTAAGGTGTTTGGTAAAGCAAGCTAACATTATCCTCCAGAGTAACTATCGGGTCTGTGCTGAGTTTTTTTGGAAAATTCATGGAAATGATTAGTAACATCAAGTAAACAATCTTAAATACCTTTAATCCTTTCCTTGGTTGCTAGGAGTTTTGGCTTATGAGACATCTATGCTGTGAAGGCCATAGTAATTATCCGTTAGTAATTCTGAAATAATGAAACAGCCTTTAAGGAGTCATGGGCTCCAATATAAAAACCTAGAAGAGGAGTACCAGGTAAGAGTGGGGGAGAATTCAATGCTGAAACCTTCAGAATTGGCAGCCATCATCAGAAAACTTTAAGAAATCTAACTTTGAACATGCTTCTATGGGGCAGATATCAGATGAAGTGAGATTGGCTCATTTTTTTTAACTGTTTAATGTGACATGAAGAATTATTAACACAAATTATTGTCCTCCCTGGAGTTACGTCCCAGTACTGTAAAGACAGCACTGGATAAATATTGATCCTTTAGGTTGATTTTAATTTTTTTCATTGCAAAAAACACATACCATAAAATTAACCATTTTTAAGTATACAGTTCCATAGTGTTAAGTGTATTCACACTGTTGTACAGTCGATCTCCAGAACTTTTTCGTCTTGCAAAACTGAATAAATTGATTTTTATTGAAGTGGAGTTGAAGAGAAATGGATACAAAAGAGTATCGGGACCAATCATCACTTCGTGCCCAGCATTGTACCCCAGGGAGAAACCAGTGTTGTCCTGTGTCCTGTGTCCTGAGCATAGTTTTGTAACCTCGGGAATATGATTGTTCTCATTCCAAGGCAGGAGCGTGAATATCTTACGAGCTGTTTGACTTGGGGCAACTCAGCTTTTGGCTCTCTTTGTAAAATGTAAACATTTATTCCCTGTTTTGTTCTGAAAAGGATTTAAAGCAGATGACAAAACTCCATGCGACACAGTATGTTCAAAGTAGGGACAGCAGAGTAAAAGGAAAATAGTAGATGAATAAAATACAGGCAAGGGGAAAAGTCACTAGAGACAAAAAGGTGGCTTGTAAATTCAGCTGCCGGCTTCCAATTGGCCAAAGCCTGGGGGGTGGGGGTGGAGAAGAAGAGATGATATAATACCTTCCACTTTCAATTTCGAGGATGATATGAGGGTCAAATGAGGTAATATACTTAAAAGCATATAAAGATGTGAAAAATATGCCATATAACCTGATGACTAGAAAGAATGAATACTTCTAAGAAAGCCAAATAAACCTAGAAAAACATTTGTCCTATCCTGCTTTTCAGATTATAGATACAAAAAAGATGAGCTTTTCAAGAGACTAAAAGTTACAACTTTTGCCCAGCTGGTAAGTTCAATGATCTTACGTTGGAGTAAAGACTGTGTGATTTGTGCTGCTTTATGTGAGTATATCTGCATTCGACTCTAGGTAATGTTTGCAGAGGGGTTTCCTCCGATTCTTTTTATTTCACCTGTGCAGGGATTAATTGGCGTATGGATGGTGTGAAAGTGTTCTCTTCTTTGATAAGAATTTTTTAAAGTAAAAAGTGCCTTCTACTTTTAAATCATCAAATGTGTGGTATAGGTGTTCTTTTTTCCTTGTTCATTTCATTTTTTCCTTGTTCATTTCATTTAAGTTATAATATTTAGAATCTAGAATTCTGGACTCTGGATTGTTGGGACATTTTTCTCTGTGGAAACCAGGTGATCTCCCTTCTATTACTGAGCTCTTTTTCCAACTCTTTCTGCCATGGGTGGTTTTGTTACTTCAGCAAAGTCTCCTTCTTCTTTCACTTGAAAAGTATGGACAAAGTGTCTCTCTGGCCCCCAAACAAGAATTCCATTGATGTAACTCAAGATGAATCTTGGGTCTCATGAGTGAAAATGTGAAACGTGCTTTCAAAACTATACGTGGATATGCATTGTTGTAATCAGTATACTCATAATTACACTTATTTCTTCATTGCATAAAGAATTGCTGATATAATTCTGTTATTGTAAGTATTGCATTTTCAAGAAATAACGTCATATTGGGACTAGAATATATTGGGTTGTCGGAAAAGTCATGACATATTTTTTCTATGTTTTTCGTTGCAAAAATGCGTCATGACTTTTCCGACAACCCAGTATATGGATGCAGTTTTAGACTCTTATTCATGTTTCTTGTCCTAAATTACCCCTTTGGTCTCTTCAGTTTATTGTGTAATGTTTTAAATGAATCTTTTCTTCTGGAATGATCATCTGCAGTGTAATGACCACTCCCAAAGTAAGGAGACCTGAGGTGGTGTGTCCAGTTGAGGACACTGAAAGTTTCTTGAAACAAGAGATCTTTGATGCTTGCTGTTTCCTCATCTTTTGTAAGACAGAACTGTCTCTGTTTAAAGACAAACAAACATACACGCATCTACACATTTCATTCTTTTTTCTCGCAGGTCATCCAAGTTGCTTCCCTGTCTGATCAAACACTGGAAGTGACAGCTGAGGAGATTCAGAGGCTAGAAGGTAATGAGAATTGAGGATGCCGGGAAATAAGGAATTGATGGTTTGTTTGACCTCCTCCCCCTGTGCGTTTGTATTCACAGGGACTTGGGACTTTGATGTACCTATTTGTAATTAGATGGTTACTCTCTGAGAAATGCTATCTGGTGCTCTCATTGTTAATTCTTATTTCTTTTTAAACCGCCATCTGGATTCCTGGCTCGAACATTTGTGTTTTAAATGTTTTAGATGTGTTTAATATACTAATTACTTTTTCAACAAATATTGTTAGTGTTTTTGATATAGTACAAGTCACAGAATTAGGTGCTGTGAGACGACAAAGATGAGAAAACACAGCTCTGTGTACATGGAGTTTGTGGTTGCATGGCGCATGTGCACACACATGTGCGCCTTGGGTAAGGAGAATGATAACAAACACAGAATTACTAACATGGCAGAAATTCATAATGAAGGACTGAAAGGAAACCATATACAGAGGGTGCCTAAAAAATGTGTACACATTTTAAGAAAGGAAAAAAAACTGTATTAAAATTGTAATACTCAATATATACCGATAACAAAAGATGAATACAAGTCATGTGTATATGTTTTTTTGGCACCCCCCCACTATATTGCTAGGTAACTTCACATGAGTTTTCTTATTGAACCTTCCCAAAAACTCCAGAAGGAAGGTACACTGTACAGATGAGAAGCCCAAGCTTTAGAGGTGAAAGGCCTTGCTTAAGATGATACAGACAGTAAGGAATGGGCCTAGGATACAAATCTGTGTGTCTCCCGTAGCAACCAGAGGCTTCGCTTGAGGAGTCCAAGGAAGGAAAGATATTTTCCAGTTAGGAAGCGGAGGCAGGCTTTCCTAAGGCTTCAGAACTGGGCCTTGAGGGTGAGGCTACTGCAGGCCGACAAGCAGCCTGAGCGGAGACACAGAGGAGAAAAAGCTCCCAGCATGTCTGGGGAATCACGTAATCCAGTCTGGCTGTGGTCTGAGGGAGGCATAGGTGCCTGGTAGGAGATAAGGCTAGAAAGATAGTTGGCTCCAGATTTTCCTTCTTAAATACCGAGTCGAAATAAAACCCCTTAGTTGTACACTCATGAAAAGAATACACAGAGTGAAGGTCTTTATTTTATCCTGAAGCACTCGACAATCAATGTGGGGCTGTTTATTGAAGGGGATGTGTTTTGTTAAGGTTGATATAGGCCAGGAATTTGACTTCTGATTTCAAGACAAGTTTCTCAGGAAGTCTGAACACTGGGTTTGTGCAACTCAACTGTCATTTCCCTGGGCTTGTTTTTGTTAGGGAGGATAAAGAGAATCTGAAAAAGCCAGGAATTTATCTTTGACAGATGCCTCTCACACAGCAGAGAAATAAGGGCTCTTTGTAACCGAGATAATTGAGTCTCCTCATACAAGTACTCCCAATTTTCCCCTGGTTATATAAGTACCTGGATTGGGTCTTTTAATTCATTATAGAGATTGCAGCACCAGGACATATGGGCACATGCAATTTTCTCTTCTGAGATGAATTTGCACAGCAAAATAGGCTCTTATAAAATAGGACACCATAATGTGTGAGTAATATTAGTGGTTTTCTAGTGCTCTACACAGAATAATAACTCACTCAGGAATGCCTGTAGAACAGATTGAATCTGTTTGCATATTGGCTATCTTTGAAGGATTAAAAAAAAAAATCCTCTCTTACAATGTTTATTGTTGTGTCCTAACTGAAAAGTATATTTTTAGAAAATTAGAAAACTGCAAAAAATATATAAATAAAATTAAAGTAACTAATAATCCCTGTTAACATTTTGATATGTTTACCCTCCCATCTAACTCCTACCCAAATTCATACTCTTTGTATATAGTTTTGTGTTATGCTGTTTTTAATGAACATTTTATCATGCATCCTTTTCTTGTGTCATTAAATAGACTTCCAGAGCTTCAGTGTAAATGTTGTGTGCTCATATAATGTCTATTCTTTGGATATACCATAATTTATTTCATTTCATTATCATTTATAATTTATTCATTTTATTGTTGGGCATTACAATTTATCTAATTTTTCACTTTTATAAAATACTGCTGCAATGTAAATACATAAATGTTTGTGTGGTTCTGATTATTTCCGGAAGGTGAATCGCTGCAGAGGGACAAAGGGTGGAACCATTTTGAGACACTCAGTTCTCATTCCACATTATCTCCAGAATGGCCCTACCTGTCTCCATTCCCACCTAGTGAATAAGAAGACCTGTTTGTCCCCATCCTAGCCAATGCTGAACAATGATCATTTTTGTAAATAGTTACCAATTTGATAAATGAAAAACACTATCTACTAGTTTTATTTTGAATTTCTCTGATAGTGAGATTGGCCATACATTTTTCTTCTTTTCAGGACATTACAGGTCCTTTCCCATTTTTTGTTTTTCTAATAGAATGTTCATCTTTTACTCACTGATTTATGAAAGCTCTCTGTAGTTATGATATCTTTTTACTTTGGGAACCATTACAATGTTGGAAATAAATGAGAAAAATCTTTACTTGATGATTTAGAACAATTGCTAAGCTGAATTATTAAGTAAAAATAAAACCAGAAAACTAAGTGTAGAGCAGTATGAATGGCATTCCCCTGGATATGTAAAAATAGGAGGAAATAAAATATAGTCAAAAGTATGTAGTTGTTTTATTTCTGGAAGGAGACATAAATATGTGAAGCTGGTTCCCTGAGGGCCTGCAGGTCTGGAGTGGAAAGACGACTTCCTTTCCACGTTAATTTATCTTGTTTGCATTTTTACTGTGTACACATGATTCTTTTTCAATTAAAGAGCTACTTAAATTTTAAAATCTATAAATCAAGTATACTAACCTATTCTCATCCATGTATGTCATAGATATTTTTCCTAATTTGTTATTCACCTTTTAATATTCTTTGTGTTGTTTTTTTATATATATATGAGACTTGTATTTTTACATGATTAAATCCATTAGCCTTTCATGTTGTATTTTGTTTTCTTGCTTTAGACTCATAAAATCCAAAATAAGATAAATTATTTACCTCTGTTAGCTTGCTTGGTTTTTGTTTTGTTTTGTTTTTTTACAAAATGCTTACTTAAGGGTGAGATTTAACAAAATTATTAATTGTTACTGCTTCATGGGGTCGTTTTTTAGTGAGACTGCCATATTTATTCACTGATTGGGTGTTGGTGAAAACTAGAATGGTTACTAATGAAACTTGATGCCACTACCCTGATTCTTGCTAAGACACTAGCAGTTTTATCCACCATTTCATTTGCACCATTAGTGCCAATATCAACACAGTAAAAAAGACAACATCCGAGTATTATTATAAAAACAGCTTTTTCCCCTGCACATCCCCTAAAAGGGCCTTAGGGACTCCTGAGGCCCACAGACAACAGAGAATCTGTCCATTAGAATTTATAGAACAGTTTAATTATGCTGACGTGATTTCCTTTTCTTGACCTGATTTCAGTGACACTGCCTGACAAGTAAATATACATTCTGCGGTTAAATTTACTTATCTCTTCATTTGCAAATTTTAGACAATGATTCTGCCACTTCGGACCCTGATGCTGAAATCACTGCCAGGACCAATGGGAAGGGGAGCCCTGGGGAGCAGTCGCCGAGCCCTGTCCAGTTTATAAACAGCATGGGAGCAGGGGACTCCAGTCGCTCGACTCTCCAGAGGTACTCTGATCGGATGCCTGTTTTCACTGCATTTTACCCTCACGTTAGTCTAGGGGCCGATTTCCGTGCTGTAACTGGCGATAGTGAAGTCCAGCATTTTCATCTCAGCCCTTCTACTTTGTCTTTCTATCAGTGCCACCTCCTGAATCTTTTCACAGCATTCTTTGTCAATTAATGTAAGATTCGATGAAAAGGAGAGCATTAATTTGCATGCCTCACTTCCATTCTTCTCAGCCTTCCTATGCGCATGTTTGCTGTTAGGACTTGGCTGTACAGCTACTTTCCTTTGACTCGGAGAGGATGCTTTTTCTCCGCCTTTTCTGTCTGCGGCAGTTAATTACCCTGACAAGAATCGAAGGAAAACAGAGTGCCCCACACAGTGCTCTGATATTAAATAGGTAGATTCAAAAAAAGGGAGCGCAGCCTTTGGTTATCGATTCTCACGCTGCACGTGGCTGCACCTTCTTGTTTCATAGACTACGATGCAACGCTCTTCTCACAGATATGAACTGTTGTTTCTAAGACAGTGCTGGTTTTCAGTACATGCTCATATTCATCCCTTCTCCTGGTGAAACAATTCAACTAGAGAAAGAATTGCTGTCATCTCCACCACTGTTATTTTTATAACGTCTTTGGTGCAAAGACTCTAAAATTGCATTCAATACAAGGTAGACCAAATGGGCTTCCACTGAGGATGCATTTTCCTATGTAATAGATTTTCTTCTCCTTCGGTTCGCCAACAGGTGCGCTATGTGCCATATAGTTCTAGTGTTTATCAGACTTAAATGCAGAATTTGATGTGCTGTGATGGGAGAGGAACTGTGTTACGTGCCCACCTCTGGTTTGGCAGATATGTCTTCCGATTTGCCTCGGAAAGTAATCATCCTCTTATTCTAGCGATATTTCCCAACTGCCATTTTGTTAAGCACACGTACTCTTCGTTCTTCCTTCGATTCATGTTTTCATCACATTTTGCCTGTAGTATTAACATGCAACAAATTTCAATCATTTTATGATCTTAGAAACGGAACTGTAAGTGGCAAACTCCCTCATTTTAATCCCAGCCTGTCCTCTGTCTCATTATATGAATGTGACCAAATCTAAAAGCCTCTTCTACCTCAACATTGTAACGTATAAAACTGAAGTAAGTTCAGGTTACTACTGAAAAGGTTCAAAATCTATATTGGCTAGGTTACTGTATGAAATATATTAAAACGTTGTTACTTTATGTTACATATAATACACAGAGAAACACCTTCATTTTTCCTGTCCTCTCAACCTTAATCTTTCCCCGTTTGTTCCACTTTCTTACATTCCTCAAAACTGCATTGGATTAACTGTTCGCCTCTTTGTCTCTCTGAATGTGACCCCACAGTTTGTACCCCCTCAGCCATGCAAATGACATCATATGCATTCTCTGGAAGTAAGTGTGGACCTGTGGATCCCCTCCTTGGGGTCCAGTGAGATAGAACAGGAATCCCTAGGATCTGGAGCTCTGAGGCAGAACTGAGACACTAGATCCATGTCCCTTTTTCTTTGAAGTGTCTTTTGAAAAGCCACCGAGCTCTCTCCCTCTCTCGCTATTCTGAAGAAACGCGCTTGGCCTTTAAGCCACCAACCCCTGACGAGTTTCTGCTGACCTCCTTTTTCACTTGCAGCGTCATCAGTGGTGTTGGGGAACTGGATCTAGACAAAGGGCTAGTGAAGAAAGCAGAGCCCAACACCAAAGACAAACCTTATCCCGACTGCCCCTTCCTGCTGCTAGATGTGCGAGATAGAGATTCTTACCAGCAGTGCCACATTGTTGGAGGTAAGAGAGAGAAGGCTTTGTAGTGTCTCACTCACCGAAAGTGAGTCCATTGTTGAGTCCCAGCAGGACTGAAGCACGTCCCATGGTCAAAAGTTAAGGAAATATGTTAGTGGGACCCATTGTGGGAACCTGTGAGCTGGCTTTCCCGGAATGCCCCGTGTTAAATGTCAGACAGTCAAGTGAAGCTTCATCTTTTGTTTATAGTATCCTGTTTTTACTTTCAGGAAAGTATTTAGGTTTATGGCTCGTTGATTTTGAAAATATATCTCTTTTAACTCTTAGTTAGACTTCACACCAGCTGGGAATTGGGGCCAAGTCCTACTAAGAGAACTACGAACTTCCTAAGTGTTTCTTCTCTTTGCAGCTTACAGTTACCCAATTGCAACTCTGTCTAGAACAATGAACCCTTATTCAAATGATATTCTTGAATATGTATCCTTTGTTGCATTTGAAGGAGTTGGGTCATAATGAGGATTTTTAAGAATCAAACTTACTGTGAATCGTGCTCCTGGTAAGGAAACTCTGAGGACTTTTGATAATAATCAGCTTACTTAGCATGCTGTGGAATTTGAATTCTTAACTCTTGCTGAGTATCCCGACTATTACAGCAGCAGCTTCCTGGCCATGCTCACTGGGCCCCAAAACATCAAGTGAAAGGTTATGGTCCATTAAGAGTTAGTCCTGAGACTTTTTTTTACCCCCCAGAAAGCTTTCCCAAGTAAAACTTAAGAAGTAAATTTTCTTCTGTTTTATTTTTTTCTTCTTAAAATTTTAATTTTCTTGCTCAAAAGAATCATACAAGGAGAAAATCATTTAAATACTGAACTATGTACGAAATCTCCAATAATCGCCCATTTGAACGACTCATTACGTTTTTGTATATTTTATTCCAGATTGTCTTCTATGTACTTTTTTAACAAAGTAGAAATTATACTGTATATATAATTTAGTATCTTGCTTTTCCCCGTTTCATATTACAGTGTATTTCCCACACTAACACAAGCTCTTTTCAAACTCTACTTTTGATGCAGTATATCTTAGCTTCAGATTTACTATAATTTACTAAACTTTTCCTCTATTGTACTTTTAATTGATCCCCTTTTTTTTTAGTATTATAATAAGGCTGCATTAAAACACAACGCACATTAAGGTTTTTCTATTTCCTTGCTTGTAAAATGGAGCTTGTCATACTTGCTTTCCAGGGTTGTAATGCTAACAGAGCTAAAGAGTACAGAGTGTGTAACGTGTGCTGTCTTGGACCATGGTCCTATTAATTTATAACACAGAAAACTACCAGCTTGTGTGGTTTCCATGGCAGGAAGAAATCCAGGAACCGCTGGTGTGATGGGTAACGAGCAGGGTCTGATGTTCCCCTGAGTTCAGAAAGGTGAACTCCGACAGCTCTTGGTTCCTTGGGGGTTTCTTCTAGTCTAAGAGCGTTAACTCAGTGTGGTCAAGCCTTAACTCATCTGCCTCTTAGAAAAATGCCCATGGCAAGATCATCATTCTGTACGACGACGATGAGAGGCTGGCCAGCCAGGCGGCCACCACCATGTGTGAGCGGGGGTTTGAAAACCTCTTCATGCTTTCTGGAGGTGAGCGGGGCTGTGCTCTCCTTAAGACTGAAAAGACAGATTACCGGGATTCACAACCCTTCAACCTTCCCCCGTCACCGTTTTCCTCTGAGTGGTCCTGATTTAGTACAGACATAAACTCAGAAATACTGCGGGGTTCGGTTCCAGACCACCGCAATAAAAGTGAGTGTCACAGTCAAGCAAGTCCTAATCTTCTTGCTGGTGGAGGGTCTTGTCTTCAGTTTGTAAAGATAACATCTGTGAAGCGCAATTAAACGAGGCATGCCTATATTCTGGAGAGAGAGAAAGCCGGGCTGTCTGAAAGGAGGAAGCAGGGGTTCTGCGAAGCTTCCCTTAGCTTTATCATCACATGTTTTAAATTCCTGAAATACTGACATTGCTTCGGGGCTCTGTAAGATAGCCTTAATGCTGAAGACTCGAGCGAAAGGATTTCGGGTGGAATTCTCAGAATCCCACGGAACAGCTGACATTATTCTGCTATATTTTACTTAATGGTGACGCAGTTAAGAAAGATTTCATGTCCCGGTGTTGGCCTCGACTTGGAGACCAAAGATGAGACATGCAAGCCCCTTTTTAGATTTTGCCTTGGCCTCCCCATGTTAATGCTGCTTTTTCTGACGATCTCCCACACCTAGGTCTAAAAGTCTTAGCTCAGAAATTCCCAGAAGGACTGATTACGGGTTCCCTGCCAGCATCTTGCCAGCAAGCCCTTCCTCCTGGTTCTGCCCAGAAACGATCCAGCCCCAAAGGGCCACCCCCGCCGGCGGAGAATAAATGGAGATTTACCCCAGAAGACCTAAAAAAGATAGAATATTATCTGGAAGAGGATCAGGGGCCTGCAGACGATCCCAGTAAGATATTTTGACCTTTGGAGAGAGTGTTTTCTGTAGGGTTTGCGATTTGCAGCTTTGAAAATCACCTCATCACATGAAAAGCTTGACCTCTTGTAATATATTCAGCCTTAAAATATTTGTGGGGGGTGGTACAGGTGCTGTGCAGGGAGTGGGGGGCAAGTGGAGGTGATCCCAGATTGTGGGGAGACAGGCATTGTGCACAGACCTAGAAGAGAGTTTATCAGTCAAATAAAGTGTGCATCTCAGGCAGAGTTGAGAGGCTAGGTAAGCTGAGGCATTCATATTCCTTCCTGGAAAGTTTTCGTTTCCTCCTGTTGCTGCTGGGTACATCTAAGCCACTTCTGACCTTTCCTTCGCACACCACTTCCTCTTGTCTCTCCCCGAATGGCTCCTGCCCCCACCTCTACTGAGAAGGAATGAAGGACAGGCTAGGTTGCTGAGGGATAATGGAGAGGAAGGAGGCAAGAAAAGCTGTCTGGGTTTCCTTTCATTCCTGCCCCCTTCCCCACCTTCAAGTTAATCTCAAGGATAAAAGAGTAGGCTTTCGCCTTAAGTAAATGCTGAATAGGACTTCATTAGCTTGAAAGTGGTTGTAGCCTAAGACTTCATTAGCTTAAAAGTGTACTTGGCAGATTGTCCCTGGAATCACGCTTGCAGCTCTGCTCCCTGCTTTCTTGCTTCTTTCAGGCCGGCTGAGCCAAGCGAATGCCTCCGGAAGGGACTCCAAGGTTCCAGGCAGCCGCAGCGGTCAGAGCCTGCCCACCGGGGGCCCCACCGGCCACCCGACCCCCCGCTCACTCGTCAGTGGCCACCTGCACGGCAAACCCTGGAAGTAAAGACTTTGTCTGTCTTAGTCGAATAAATGTTTTCTCTCTTTTCGGAACCCCTGCGCAGTTCCCCAGTCGGTCACTTCCAGAAACTGCTGCAGAGGAAAGACCACGACATGTGTGATAGGCCCCCTTTCCTCTTCCTGTCCCCTGCTCCTCTCCCACACCCAGCTCGGGAAGGAGTTACAAAAACCAGAGGCATGACAGGCTCCAGGGTCCTCCCTACGGTTTACAAAATATTTAAGTCTCTGAAACTGAGTAGGAAAAAAAAGAGTCTAATTTTTTTTTAGGCATTAATGTTTTTAAATCAGGTCCAGCTTGTTTTGGTCTTTATCCTGCATTGTTTTGTCAGTACTTCAGTTCCATCTGGTGTGTTCTTCCCAACTAGTTCCTTTACACTTACTAGTCTTGGTTTCACGAAGGTTCTCCAGGTATGCTTTGCAGCCTGAGAAGCTGGCCCTGGGGGTGCAGGTGATACTTAGCTTTCAGCCTCCCCAGCTCCCCCCCCCTCCACCCCCCGCCCAGGTGTGGGCCCACCGGCCGAAGCACTCTTCCCAACACGCACTGCAGGCTCTGTCGTGAGTTTGGAGCTGGTACCTGTGAGCATTGCTCAGTTTTAAGATTCAGTAGAGCAGCCCTCACTTCCCAAACATTCCTCCCCCATAGCTGCTTTCCTGGAGCCGGCACAGGTGATGATGTGTGCTCAGCTCGCCTTCACACAGGGCACGGGGCCCCTCAAGGAAAGCCCCGTCCATTGTACAGAGCCGTGTTGAGAGCCATGGAAGCCCCCCGAGCTGTCGCTCATTCACAGCTGGTGTGAATTTCTATTACCCAGCTCGGGTCTGTCCATCTGAGATGGGTAAAAATGATGGCCACTTGAAAACATTAGCTTTGGCCGGGCCACGGTGGGCACACAGGTAAAGACAGCTCCATGGTCCTTTGTCAGAGCTGACAGCCCCTTAAGCCCTTGCTTAAAATACAGTATTAGTCTAATTGAGTAATTAATACAATTTCCTGCTTACTTTTCATTCTCATGACTGAGCTATGATTAGGAGGTTGCGATTGTAGATTCTGGTTTGGGCCAGAATTTTGAATCAGCATTAATTGAATTACTAGATGACTGACATTCATTCCATTTAATTGGGGGAACAAAAGACCTCAGGTAAGGATGAGGAACTCTGAAATCCTCAGGAAAAGGAAAAGAGCCTTGTTAATTTTTATGGTCTGTGATCTGTAGCTGTGATAAGGGACTGAGGAATAAATTTGCTCTTTGTCATGGCAACCAGCTTCTGAAAAGCCAGCTGAAAATTGCCTATCCTTAGGTGGTTACTGCTGCTGGGTAAGATTTGTCTTAATGGCACCATTTCCTCGCCATCAGAAAAAAAAAAAAAAAAGTACCACAGTATTCCTAGCATGGGGGGCTGTGTTTGTAAAAGAAATAATGGCAATAAATATCTCATAGAGGCATATGGAAAAACAACTTTCAGAGAGATTCAGCCCTGTTCTGTTTTAGAGTGTTTATTCCTCTCTACTTGATTTCCAAAGTACAACATTTTCCGATGCTTTAGAAATCAAACAAACCAGCGACATTGTTCAGATGTCAAGCCGTGCCCAATTTTCCACAAGATTCAAGAATCTTGTATAAAATTCAGCCAACGTACACATAGCTGTAATGAGGAGCCTGTCATGTTTCCCCATAAATTTATTGCCTGAGAACTTAGGTCAGCCTTTTGCTAACGCCAGAACTCCCTGGCGTTTTATTTTCTTTACAGCGTAGATTTTTAAAAATGCAAAGTTTTCCACACTCAACTTTCCCCTAGCGTGGACAAGATTTTCAGCCATTTTTTGACACATATACATTTTTAAGGGGGAAAAAAAAAAGTGTTCTCTGTAACAAAGCTCTGGCTACGCTGTTTTAAAGTTGACGAGTCAGGGGTTTAGATTTCCTCACTTGTTCTATTTGGAGAGTAAATGGTGGGCCCCTTTCTTCCTGTTCTGCATCCTCATCGCCAGACAACACCCGAGTGTCAGAAACTACTGTATGTGCGGAAGCAGGTTAGCCAGACCTGTTGGCATCGCTGTGTGTTCAGCCGGGCGACCTGGCAGGACAGGTGTGTTTATGTGCCTTCCCCAGGGTGCTCTGCCCTGTTGGGAAGGATTTTTAACAACTACTCTGCAAAGTTCCATCCCAATTCTGCACTTTGGATGTTCAGTGTCACTCTCAAGACAGTTTTTACATGCTCAAGGCACTGCCTTGAATGTTCTACTAGACTTGTTGCTTCAGCAGATTAACTGACGTGTATTATTAAAGGGCCCGGTGACACTTTGTTCAATTGTGAGTAGTAGCGATTGAAGTCCGTCGTTGTTGTTTGCTATTAATAACAATGCTGAGCTCTGCCGACTTCTCTCTTCCTCTCTGTTGAGATGATTTGGGGGAGCCACGTGAGACGGGGGTGATTTGAAAGAGTACCTCTTTTGGCTGCATCTCCCAAGAAGGCTTATATTCTTTGTATAAGTAAACCAGGAAGTCATTTTGGTGAGGGCCAAGGACCTCAGCTCTGTAGTCAGAGGCCTGGGTTTCTCTTCACGCTCAGGCAGAGACTAATTGCCATCTTAGACACATGGCAGCAGGACTTTCTTGACAGTGTTTCAGGGGGTGATGAGCTGTCCTTGCCTTGTGACGCCCCAGATGGAAGGTGATTTATCGATGGACAGCTACAGCTCCCACCTGAGCAGCGGCGATGGCCAAACTCTAAATAATACATTCAGTGCTGTCAAGGGGTATGTATTTAAGAAGGAAAGGAGGGAAGGAAGGGGAGAGGCCAGGAAACAAGAAAAAGGGAGCGAGGGAAAAGCTACATTACTCGTTGGAAAACAAAAGGAACATCTTGGGCTATAATGATGTCCACTTTAATCTACTGAAAGGTAAAAAATGATTCAAGTGGCCTGAAAGTCATTTTATTTTTTTTACCTTGACTAGAAAACCAGAACCAGCACAATCATAGGACTTGGTGTAAAACACAATTAAAAGAGAACAAATCATGTTCGTTAGTGGCTGAGGGATTTTTCCTGTGGTGCTATCCAGATTATACAAAGCTTCTTAAGACTTTAGGCCACTCACCAAGAACACAGCACAAAACAAAAACCTTCTTCCCTCTAATCCCCTTGTGGAATATAAGTGAAATCAGAGTCCTAGACTAGGAAGAAATATGTAGGTAATTTTTCTTGTGTTGGTTTTGGTTTCTGTTATGTAATACATTGGTTATGTTGTTTTTTTTAATGTTATCTGACTTTTTTTTAAGAGGAATAATTAACTCCTGTCCACCTGGATTTAATTCCACAACTGCCTTCTTGCTTTACTCTGAAGATAATCAAGAACCCTTCTTTCTCCAGTTTCAAAATGTTCTCAGTGTCTTTAATGTACGTTCATTTTTTTCACAGTTCTGTCAAAGGTGTAACTCCCGTAATACTTTTCTTAAGAAACATAAGAAATGTGGATTCTAATTCATCAGTGTAATTCTGAGAGCATGATGACATGCTTGTGTGCAGTTCAGTTAATTTTTTGATTAACAAATATATTTCCCTATAAAAAACAGTAAAGAAGACGCTGTGCTGAAGTGTTCGGTATACATTTGAGTAGTAATACTTCCCCACAATTGTAGTAATTATTGAAGCTGTCTATTGTGGTATCCTCAAATTGGTACACAGGTCAAGTGTAGCATAAAATGTGTTAACGGTGGAAATCTGTCCGCCTTGCATTCTGACAGAACGGGTTTCTGTGCACGATTTTTTGTGTGTTTGCAAAACTGTATTTGTCACCCCGCGACCCCCGGGTGATCTCTCACTCTCCAATGCTGACCCCCTTCGTTCTGAGGGCAGAAGCAGATTCTCTTGTCTGGTGTGACATCCTGAAGGCCCTGGATACAATGTGGGGCACACAGAGATCATGGATGGACTACGTTGTTTAAATTATTTGAAATTATTTTGACTGTAAGCCCCTAGAGGGTGAAAATCAACGATAGGACCATGGCCCTTAATAGGGTGTGTGACTCAATGAATTGAACCTGGCAAAACTGAAGTCTGGGATGTAATGCTGGTTGTGGAGGCCACTCAACACTGCCCTGCCATCCTGGAGATCCGGAAAGCTCCGTATCTTTTCTCCCCTTGACTACATCCTGTTTTTGTAAGAGAGGCATTCACCACCGAGGTTTTAAATTCCCCCTGCAGGAGGCTCCCAATGAGCTGTTAGGGGCGCTCTGGTGGCCCAGGCTGTCTCAGTCTGCCAGGCCTGTTTTTAGGGTTCCTTCAGGCTCAAGGTGGCCTTCAGAATTTATCAAATACAGACTGCACACCATCCCCATCTGAGAGTGGGTTATTTTTCCTCTTTTGTTTCAAATCTTGATGATTTCCAGATCATAGACGTTTATGGAGAGCTGACTGTGCATTAGGCAGTGTTCCTAGATTCTTTGTTATATGTTTTGACTCATTTAAGTCTCACCACAGTCCTGCGAGGTAAGCACCCCCATTCTCAGGTGGGGAGCCTGAGGGTCGAGTGGAGATGAACAAACTGGCCCTGAGTCACCGAGCTAGAAAGTGGAGAAGACAGGATCCAGCTTTAGAACCGCGGCTGCAGAGCAAGTTCATTCAGCCACCCTGCTCCGCGCGTCCCACCCTGGAAAGGCACAGCCATGCTGTCTCTCCCTTGGCATGCCGCCAGGTTACCCGCGGAAACAGAACTTTCCCTTGGCTGTCAGCTTCCCTCCTCGTCACCTGAGATTCCACCGAGAGCTTTCCTCTGCCTGAACGAAAGGTGATGGAAATTCAGGGACTGAAACATCTGCCCCTGACACTATATGTATTTCCACATTTCCACTGTCTGTGTCTGGGGGCCTGTCTTGAAGACAGGTGTTCCAAGGTTTCTGAGGTTTATTTTGTTTCTTAGTGATACCTACTGAGGTATCACTTCAGGAATGAGAGCTACAAACGTTCCATTAGACTGTAGGAAAAAAGTAAGCTGTTTTCCTGAGAGGTTGAATTATTCATTCAATAAACCGTATTGATATGATTTGTGTCTGGTCTTTTCTCTCCTTTGTGGTGATGTTTCTGATTTAGGCTGAGACAGAAATTGCATGAACTGGCTTATGGCCACAGGCCTGGCTTTCATGGGAGGAAGCAGCGGCAACCCTCTGTGCCTCAGTCGGTGTTAGCAGAGCTCCTGTGCCACTGCAGTTTTCTAGAATGTCACTGAACATCACTGCCGTGGTTAAGCGGGAGACTTTTCATTTTCTTCTTTTAGTTTGGCAAGCAACATTTGGCAGCCTCAGTCTCTGGGGTTGTTAGATGATGTTCACAGGATGAGTTGCCAAATGAATGCAGATCGTGAGAGCTTTGGGGAGAATTCATTACCCTTTGACAGTTTTTCAGAGTTGACGGGCGCTCCGTGCTTTTTTGTCTCAGAGCTCTTCCTTTATCTGGCCAATTTGAGTGTTATGGTTGGTCCTATCAATTTCCCGAAAGTAGCCTCTGGGACTTAGTATGTTCGCAGGGTGATGTTTCTGTCCTTAGAGTCCTCAGAGCGTGAGTCCGTCTGCATCCCCAGATCCACCTAGTCCCACCTCGCCCTTGCAAAACAATCGCTGGGATGATGAATAGCCCTGCACCAGATGAGGGACCAGTGAGGTCATATCTGGATTGTATTCAGTGACAGTTCAATTTTAACTTCAGGCCAAAGCCAGAAAGCTAGACATGCATATCTGAGTGTTCTTTCAGGAGAACCACCCAAAGGATTCTCATGGACCACCATTGGCCCACTGGCCACATTGAGAGCCATCCATAATGGTCTAAGGAAAAAGAAAAATGAGCTCATTTAAAAATAAGGATTTTTGAAAGCCCTGGAGAATAGGCATCATCAATTAGCATAATCAGTTTCCCTGATTGCTATGGGAACTGAATGTGAGCAGAAAGGGATTTTGGGAATTTTCATCTGAGCCACAGCTGAGTGCTTAGGGAAGGGTCTCCAACTGGGGGATGTGAGTAACCCTTTCCCTTGGTAGAGACATTGCTGTTTCCAGCTCTATCTGGAGTATAAATGTTTCCAAAGAGAAGGCAATTGCATTGTTCTGGGCAAGAAGGTAAAATATGATGCCAGAGCAGAAGAAATGAGTTTAGACAAATTATGAAAAAGAATCTGGGCACCAATTAAGATGGCCATTTAGATGTTTGATGTTGATAATAAGTTGATACTAGATAACTTGACCCACAGGTTATCTGGTGTGGTTGAAAGAGCTTACCCGCCACCCCCCACCCCAGATTATAAAAGCTCGCTGCAAGAAAATCAGAAAAGTATAAAGAGGAAAACCACCGCTACCCAGAGTAACCACAGTTATTATTGGGGAATATATCCTTCCAGGCATTGTAGTGTGTGTGTGTGTCAAACAAAAATACTCTTTTGTAACCAGCTTTTTTTATTTTTAACTGTATGGAAGCATAAATCACATGCCATAAAATTCACCCATTCTAAACATACAATTCAGTGATTTTCAGTACATTTACAGAGTTGTGCAACCATCACCACAATCCTATTTTAGAACATTTCCATCACAGGGGGGCAGCTTCCTTCACTTAGTATATTGTGACCATTTTTCCATGTCAGCGCAAACCTCAGTGGCTTCACGAAACTCTCTTGTGTAAACGTGTCGTATCAACATCAATACTGGTATCTATTTAGGTTCTTTTCCTTTTTATTTAAAATTTTATAGTTACAACCATATATATATATTTATCCGAATATTTTTACAAGATAAATTCTTACGAGTGGACTTTCTGGGTCAAAGGGGCAATACATTGCAAATTTTTATTTATATTGTCAAATTGCCATGTGGGAAGGTGGCGTAAATTTATTCTCCCACAAGTAGGATATGACAGGTCTTACTTCTTCATACCCTTGATAACACCGAGTTGTCAGTCCTCTTATTCTTTGTCAGTCTGATAGGAGAAAAAATGATATATTTGTTTTTCTGTAGTGTACAAAAAGATCACTCAGAGGATCAGTACCTTTCATACATTTATTGGCTTTTTGTGTTACTTCTTTTGGGAATTGCCTGTTTTTCTTTTGAAATGTTAGTCTTTTTTATTTATTTTTTTAACCCTTTTTCTTATAAGAGTTCTTTTCCCCGCAAGGTTATTAATACCTTTTCACATACGCTGCAATATTTTCTAAAATTATTGCTTCTCTTTTAGTTTTTGTGTTTTTATTTGTAAAATAAAATTCTTATACCCATAGATTTGTAACACTATGTATCTGCCAACAAAATGTAAAGTTCTTTGAAAATACACACACGCACACAAAAAAAAGAAAGATAAAGAAAAAGAAATCATTAATGACTTTCTTGTCTCCATGTAACAAGCATTTATTAAGTGCCAACTGCCTGCCATGCACCTGGCCAGCCAGTAGGGATCAAGTATTGAACAGAACAATACAATTCCTGCCCCCATGGAATTTTCATCCTGGTGCTTCAGTCTGTGTCCTTTCTTAAGATTTTTACTGTCTCAGAGCCTTACTTTCTAAACTACAACTCAGAGAATTCCAAGTAACTTGCAAGCCTAGAATATACAGATTATAAAATGTATGAGTTCGTTAGTAAAAGCGGAGAGCATTCATTCAACAAGTATTTATTGGGCATCTATAGGTCTGGTACTATTGATGGTTTTGGAGATTGAATGCCAAACAAAGTGGTCCCCACTACTAGAGCAGAGTTTATTTTAAATTAAGCAGTTCAACCCCTTGAAGCCTAAGTAATCCAATTTTGTAAAATAATATATTACCTTGCTAATTTAGTATTTTTTTTTACTTGTCTTTGTTAAACAAAAAAGAGCAGTTTTTATTTTTTTTTATTATTATTATTTTTTTAGCTGAGCCATCCTGCTACCTGTTGGCAGCTCAGCGGCTGCTCAGCTCGGGCTGGACTCGAACTTCTGTTGCTCAGAGCTCAGACTCTTGAGCGAGCTCTTAACCAACTGAGCCACTCGGCCGGCCCCTAAAAAAGAGCAGTTTTTTATTTGCCCAGGTTGAGCCGTTAAAATGGGTGTCAGCTTACCTTCATAGATAGAAGGGAAATGTTTCCCAAAAGATAACTTAAAGGAAGTGTTTTAAAATCTATCTGTAAAGACTGAAACGCTAGTTTACCTTGCCTCATAAACTAAGTTTATGTACATACATGTGTAGGCAGCTTTGTTCTTTTCATTTTTTACAATGTTTGGTAACAAAATTTTTTTTTAACTTCAAGATGAAAATTCCCCAATGGTGTCTTAAAAAAAAAAAAAAGATCTTCAGGCCATTATATGTGGAAAAGACAAGACTTTTAAGTCCGTGGAGTTGGACGCATTGTGACACCCCACTTGGCTAACAGGGAGAGGCTGCCATCCTCACCACCAACCCTTCTGTTTGAAGGGCTGCAATCTACCCCTACCCACTTCCCAGTGACTTCTGTGGAAGTCCATCTTAGATGGGTAGAAATTATGGTCACTTCAAAGCATCAGCTTCAGTTGGGATGTGGGCATAGTTCCCTGCCCTACAGTCACATCTTAAGAGATTTGGAAGAAGGTGAAGGTAGAGTCTTGCTTTGAAAAAAGTTGGAATACCCTTTGTATTGTGGCGCTAGCCACTAAGTGTGATATCATAGCCATCAGGATCGCCAAGCCAAAGGAGGGAAGAAGGCACTCTAGGCTCTTTGGAGGGTAATGAGAGGAGAGCCTCATGTTTGGAAAATTCTGTGAATGATAAGGAGTGGTAGTGGGTGGAACAGGAGACGGAACACAGACAGTGTCTGGAAAGACGCTCGAAAGAAGGTGCAAATGTTAAGTAAACCACTTCCGTCCCTGAAGACAAAGACGTCATGATCAGCTACAATTAATAAAATGTCCTGGGATTGGCGTTTGTTCTTTGTCTTCAGTAAATGATTCCATTTAATCTAAATTGCTCTCTTCCGATTTCATTCAGGAGTGGGAGACCATCTTTGCTTTATAGAAATTGGCTTTGCCTGGCCGCAACATCTGTTTGGGACAGCAGTGGCCACCACGATTATCCTATTTCATACTCAAGAGTTATTGCTGTTGTAGATGAATGGATCCAACCAGTTAGACTATTGTACAAGCTGAATTCCTCGCCACTGCGGGGTGCCAGGCATTTGGTTAGCAGCTGTGGCTGCTGCTTGCTGCTTGCTGCTAAGGTATGAACAAATCACCCCACTGACAAACTGAGCTCAGGGTGGTCTAATTAAAACAGACACCACTTGGATGCAACTTCACAGGACCTTGGAATGCGGAGGGATTTAGGGGTCATCTAGTCCAACCACCCACACGTTTCCAGGGAGGCCTGCAGAAACTAAATCACTCCTGCCCCAGCCTGAAAAGACAGACGCACCACATGCGCTCCCACACGCACGTCCCAAGATTCTGTTCCATACACTCAAACTTTATTGGGTTGCTTGGGTGGGGCCAGAGAAGAGAAAGAGGACAGAGCCCAAGGGCTAGTTTAGTAGGGGTGGTTCAGGGTGTACTCCATGATGGTCTTGAGCGCCAGCCATGTTTCCTGGGCCGTGGGAATGATCTGGGAGGCCGGCAGCAGGAAGCCATAGCGCCCAGTGTCCCGGAGCTCGAAGGTGTAGGAGTACTTGATGCCCTGGTTGTAGGTCCAGTCAATGGTGCCTCCACTGGCTCGGTCTGGGGCAGAAGCAGAGACGGGAGAGCAAAGGTCAATTTGAAACATTTCCATGAGCCAGGCTGATGGTCCAGAGCCCAGAGCCTCTGCAGTGTTGATAGCAGTCAGCGTCTACTTGGTGCCTAATGTTGACCAAGCAGCGTGGCTTCCTCCCAAGACCTCCCCTGAAGGGTCTCAGCCCAAGGGGCCCAGAGAGGCGGACCAGCAATGGTTCTCTCACTGAGGGATGCAAGAAAGTTCCTACGATTGCAAAAGCCCCACTGAAAGCTGCCTCCGTCCTCCAGTAACCACTTTGGTCAAAACTCCAAATATAACAGAGTTATGGGCTTGGGTAACCAGGATTTGTCCGCTGGGGCTGTGGTCTGCAGGTGAGAGTGCAAAGGGCCAGTCAAAGCAAAAGCCCCTTGTCTGTCTTTTCAGAGGAAACTTTGCCCAGATTTGCAGTTACCAGTTATGAAGCTGCTTTCAAATGGAGCAGGCAGCAACCCACTGCTCTATAGTCACATCTTAAGAGATTTGGAAGGAGCAGAAGGGAGCATGTCAGAATTTAACTCGACAACATTGAAGGAAGCAAAATCCTTTTGACTCAGGGTGGAAAGAGTTTCCAAAGAAGGCCTAGAGTTCAAAATCAAGGCCAGCTGGAAGTAGAATTGTGACCTGCTCACCCACCCAAACCTGGTTGCTCTGGGCAGGAAGTATGTGAGAGATACTTCCTCCTACCCCTCCTACCTCTGTTCCTGCCCCCTATTTCTTCAGTGCTCCTGCCTCCTGGCAGCTGGTAAACTTGGTGCGTTCCCTCAGGGCCCCACGGGACCTGCCGGCACCCCATTTGTCGCTACAACTCTGTGCTGTTACTTGGCTGCAGACATAAGGGTCTCCATGCTATTCTTGCTATTCCAGCAACACTCCAGGCCAGACCACACAGTAGGACCTTTGCTCTAGATCCTCTGCCTGGAAGCTCTCCCCCAGATAGCTAGCCTCTTGGCTCTCTTCCTCATTGCCTTTAACACTTGCCCAAATTTCACGCTGAATGAGGCCTCCCCTTTAACCTGAGGGCCTGCTCCACCCCCAGTATTCCTGAGTCCCCTCATCCAGTTCTAGTTCTCCTTTTGCCCCTAGCACTTATCACCTAACATACTGTATCATTTACTCCTTCAAGTTTATTGTCAGTTTCCCTGGCTAGAATGCAAGTTTTCTGATCTCTGCTTATTTTATTCCCAAGCACACAAACCAAGGCCTGGTGGATAGCAGGTGCTCAATAAACGTTTGCTGACCTAATTCCGTTTCGATACAGCAGTGTTCCTCCCAGGGGCACTGCATATATGAGTAAGCCGGGAAAAGAGAGAATGTGTTCTCTAACAGAAGGGCATTGGAGGAGGAGGATTTTTTTCAGTTGAATTTCTTGATGATGTAAAAATGCCAGCAGAACTCTCTTCCCCCTCCATGCCTGAAGCTGGACTTCACCCCAAGACAAGGGAACAGGTGTTCTCAGAGGAACTGACATGTTGGTGTGAAGGTATCGGAGAAGGCAGAGTTCACATCAGGAAAAGCCACTGCTGCCCCCTAAGCCAGCAGCGGTAGGCATAGCCAGGGGCTGTTCTCTCCTGTATTCCCAGATTTGGGCACCCTTGGCTACTTCCTCCAGGAGGGACACTCCCACGGGCAGGAAAAGCCAGCGGAGCTTCCTCCCAAGGCCACCAGCAGAGACCATGCACCCACTTACAGATTGCTTTGATGATGCTGCCATACTTGAACTTGGTCCCATACAGAGAGGACAGGGCCGTCACAGCATCCTTGGCCAGCTGATCCTGGAGAAAACACCAAGCAAGACCACCGGTCATGGCCAGCAATACTAGGCCTCCAGAATAGCAGGACCAGGCAGGGTGACCCAGGAGCATGCGCCCTATGGAATTGGGTCTCCAGACAAGAGCACAGGGCCTGCTAGGTCCTGCAGGACCAGCCCCGAAGCTCAGCAGCCCCACAACCCTCCGATCCTGCAGCGTGTCTGGCTGGCACTTCACTGTCCTTCAGTCACACTGCAGCTCCAAGTGTGACCTGGCGGTACAAACTCAAAGTCTAGCCCCGTCCCTCATTCTGCCATGTGACAGAAGTAACTCAACCACCCTGTGCCTCAGTTTCCCAGACAAAAAGTAAGGCTAGTCTACCTTGCCCCAAGAGTAGACTTCCCAAGCCCTCAGGTGTCCTGGGGGGAAAAGGGGTGCTCGGCACTGTGTAGGCCCTGGCACCTGAAGCAGGTCTGATGGATGAAACCCCAGGCCTGTCCAAAGCTGCCTTTGGGGTGGGAGGGCAAGCAGGGGTCAGCACATACCAGCTCATTGTGGTCAGGGGTTTGTTCTGTGGTGTAGCCATAGGGATACAGGAGGAGCTGGGAGTAGCTGTGGATGGAGATGAAGGCCTTGATGTTCCCATGGCTCTTCACAAAGTCCACAATGGACTTGACCTCCGTTTCGGAATTGGCAAACTTGCCGTGGTAAGTCTCCGAGCAAGGGTTGTTGCTGGCTCCAGCCTCTGTGGGAGGAGAAAGAGGGGTAATTGGTATTCCTTACAGCTAAGCGGTATGGCTTCCATGGCTTCCTGTTCTTTGCATGGAGTTAGGGGTGCAGGAGGGCTCACCCCACCCCCAGATGAAAGAAAGACCAGAGGCCTTTTGTAACCTGAGAGTCCCACAATCCCTCAATAGGTTTCAGACCTTAGTTCCATGGGGAGGAGCTTTCTCGTTACAGACAAGGGACCAGTAAGCCTCAGAATGCCACCTTCCTCACTGAGAGCCTCAAAAAAGGGCTCTGACATTCCTGCCACCCCCACCCCACCCACCTACCCAACCCTGCCCTCGCTGCAGGGGTCAATAAGACGAAGGAGGGTAGGAAGTCATTCTGGGTTGGCCCATCCCTGCTCCCCAGATCACACTGGGCCTTACTCCCAAAGCCGGCGTCCCAGTTCCGGTTGGGGTCCACACCAATGCAGGCGGAGCCAGCCGTGATGGATCGAGTCTTGCGCCACAAGCGGTTCTGAGGAAGGAATCAGACACTTGTCCATCACTGTCACCATGCTAGGCTGGGGCTCAGAGCCCACAGGGAGCAGTGTAGGCCGCAAGAGGCCTCAATCAACACAGAGCACCCTGACCAGAGCTTGGGTGTGGACGCAGCGTGGGATCACACACCACTTTCAACCGGTTGTCAGGGAGGAAGATCAGCAAAGGGGGCTTTTGGTTGGAGGAGAATGGAGGAGGCAAGGGATGCTGGTGGAAAGTGAAGAAGGCATAAGGTGCATCCCCTGCCCCCCACACACACACACATTTGATCGGTAGCATGCTGTACCTGCCATAAAAATAAAATAGAACTGGGACGTCAGGTCTGGGGCAGTGGGTCTCCACTGGAGACCATTTTGTCCCCTGATGCCTGGAGATTTGGCAATGTTTGAGAATGTTTCTGGTGGTCTCAGCAGGGTGTGTGTGTGTGGGGGTTTTGCTACTGGCATCGAGTGAGAGGCAGGGTGCTGCTAAACACTCTGTAGGCACAGGACAGCCCTCCCTGCCCCCCAAAGAATTCTCTGCCCAAACTGTCAAGAATGCCAAGGTTGAGAACCCTCATCTAGGGGGCCAGGTCTGTTTGCCCTTCCTTGGACTTCTGGAGGTTGAGATTAGGGGTAAGGAGCTTGTGGGCTCAGAGGCCAGAGGCCCACCTGGCTTTACCCCGAGAACAGGAAAAGGTATATACCTTGCTATGGGTGAAGGCAAAACCATCAGGGTTGGTGACGATCTCCAGGAAGATGTCCATGTTGTCAAGAATGGTGGTGAGAGATGTGTCCTGGCCATAGTCTTGGGTGATCTGGTGGGGGGTTGGAAGGGTGGTGGGGCCGAGTGAGCCAGGCCGGGCATCTGCCATGATGCGACGGATGCCTGCCCTCGGCCTCCCTCTGCAATCACTACTTCTGAATACGAAGGGGAGGCCAGGGCTTCTGCCGGCCTTGGACACCGAGGCCTTGGACATCTCCCCACACTTACCTTCTTTGCAAACCAGATCCCACTGGCCTGGGTGACCCACTCCCGGGAGTGGATGCCTGTGTCAATCCAGATGGCGGGACGATTGTTGCCCCCAGTGCTGAACTGGACGAGAAGAGCAGGGAAATGGTGTCACCTCCTTGAAGGGGAACGTGCCCCAGGCCAGAGGCCACCTGCTCTCTGGGTATCTCAGGCTGAGGCTCTGTTTGTGGGGCCATCATTCAGGTGGCGTGTGGGGCGTAGGGCTTGGGGCCTGGACAGGATTGGCCTCCTGCCCTCAGCCCTAGCATCCGGCAAACAGGACGCAGCCGGACTTCCAGCCGCCCCCCCTCCCGAACGCCCCGCCCATTCCACGGCTCATACACAGTTCTCTGTCGGAGGTCATAAACAAACTGTAAACCCTAGAATACTTTCCATAACATGACACTTGATTGGAAACATGTGGGTCACTTAAAAATTTAAATTGTGTGTACAGGTATGCATGGAAATGCAGACCTTTCCCAAATGCTGGCCTGGGAAGCTCCTATAACAGTGCGTTCCCTGTGACTGTGGGCTCACCCCCACACACAGATGTAAGGGGCCCATTTTTGCATCCATGCCATGTACACCCACACGCAGGCACCCCATTACCTTCAGCACGTAGATGGGACGACCTTCGTAGGTGCTGCCAATCTGGAACTTGCTGACAAGCTGTGGGTGCTCGGCCACCAGCATGTCCATGAAGCCATAGATCTGAGAAGGGAGGGGAGGGAAGGCCGGTTGTCATGACTTCCGGGCACGCGGATGCCCCCCTTAGCAGCTCCATCAGCTGGCCAGCTGCGAGCCATGGCCCAGACCACCCAGACCACCCAGGCCACGTGGACACAGAGCAGGTGCCACACACAGCCAGGCTGGCCCTGGCTCTGGCCACATTCTGTCAGCCGATGAAGAGCTTGGTGCCTACGGAACAGGACCCCGGGGCTCCCTCACCTCCTCCAGGGTGTGGTAGGTGGCGTAGTTAAAGGTGTCGGTGGTGCCGGCCCGGGCCTGGAAGGCGAATATCTGCTCCTGCTCCTCGTCCAGCAGTGACTGCACATCATCAATCATGATCGTGTACTCAATGCCATGGGTTTCCAGGAAGACTTTGACGGCCTGGGTGCTGGAGAAGGGCACTCGGACATCGATGGGAGAACCAGGCTGGGCAGGGCCCCTCCAGAAGTCCAGCTGTGGGGGACAAGAACTGGCACTGTCACCGCGGGCTGGGGAAGGGCCAGCCTGGGGGCAGGGGCTGTTGGAGTCTGAGTTTCCCATATAGTGGGGCATGGATGTTGGGGAAGAGGACGAAGAGAAACCCTGGGCACCGGACAAAGCCCATTGTGGTCAAGGAAATGGCCCAGGAAGCAGAGTAGGGGTGCTTTGAGACAGCAAAGGAGGTGCTAGAACAGGGGTCCCCCGCTTTGCTCAGAAGCTCAAGGGCACCCAGATTCAGGAACTGGGGGCTTTAATCACTTTCTAGTAGGCATCAGTTCCATGACTCTTTTCTGGGTGGCTGGGGACCCAAGCCCCAGGGACTGGTGGGGACCCAGGGTGGGTCCAGCCGGCCTGAGAGATACCCTGGGGCCTCAGGGAAGGCTCCCCCCATCGTCTGACCTTCAGGTGCTCCAGGTCCTCCAGCTCTGTCACCTTCTGGACCTGAGCTTCATCAGCTGCAGAGATTCGGAGCACCTGATGCCTAGGCAGAGTGGGAGGGGAGCATGAGGGTGTGAGCAGCCCCTACTGGCCGTGCACACACCTCAGGTGGGCAGAGGGTAGCAGGTGGTCTAGAAAGCCCAGGCTGGGCCTCAGTTTTCTGGCCTGAGCAGGTGGAAGCACAAGAGGTCTTAGCAATAGAGGGCCTGGGCTCTTCAGAACCTTCTGGACACTGCTGCTCTCCCCAGTCCCAGGTTAGACTCTATTTCTCTCTCCAAAGCCAGCCAGGCCTCCTCTGCTCTCCTCAGAGCTCAGTTTCTCCAGGGTTCAACAGGCTGTCCTGAGAGAACGGACCCCTTCTGCACCCTGGTCCCCGGTCAGCCTGCCTCCCAGGCTGCGCTGGTCTGCCCCTTTCTGGCCATCTTCCCATGCGTCTGTCTGTCCATCTCCTCTAGACACTGGCTAGAGGCTGAGCCCTCCCTATTTTCCCTCTGAGCACCCCCTCCTGCTCTCCACACCTTACCCCACAAAGTCCTCTTTGGCAAGGACTGCCCCCAGCAGCACACTCAAAATCAGCAGCCCCCTCATGCTGCAGCTAGTTGGGAAGGTCAACTGAGACTGGGAGAAGGTCCTGGGGCCTTTTAAACTCTCCCAGGACGGAGATCTCCGGGCTGTGCCCAAGAGTTGTCCTCCCCCCTTGCACCTGGGCCCTGTCCCACGCGGAGGGCGGGGTGGGAGTTCTGAGCTCTGACACCTTCTGACCCTCCCTGATAAAGTGACAGGGAGCAGGGCAGCTGGAGAGATAAGGTGGGTCTCAGCCCCTTGGCCACGCGGGGCCAGCTTGGGCTTGAAGGTCAGCTGGGTCTTAAGGTCTCCCAGCGGGAACCGGCTCAATCACAGCCCACAGCCCTGTAGCCCACAATGCCAGGCACCCACAGCTGGCCCAGGGAGTGGAGACAGAGCCAGGGCTCTGGAGTGGCCACACCAGCTGGGGCCTTGTGTGAGAAACCCCCTTCTCCCACCTCCCGCAGTGCCAGCTCTTTTGTGCTTGTGACAGAGCAAACTTGGACCCTCTGGCTCCATCCAGCATCTGTACCTGCTGGCTCTTCACCACTCTGGCTTTGTCCAGGGCTGCCCCTACCCTATGCATGGCACAACCCCCCCTAGGGTACAGCCCTTTCAAGGACACTTCCCAGCCCCGGTCCTACAGTCTCGGTGGCCTTGTGGGAATCAGGCCAAGAGCCCAACTCTGCCAGCCTTTCCCTCCATCCCCAGTGCTATAGGGCTCTGGGATCAGGGTTGCCCTTGATGGGAACTGTAAACAGGCGTCATCTGAGTAGGCAGTGTGGTGGTGGGAACGGGGCCAGACCCTGCTGGGACTGCACAGCGTACAGGAGAAACTGGAGCTCACAAGGGGAATTCTCTCTAGCTCTGAGGCTGACCTCATTGAAGAGACATCTAACGCAAATCCAACCTGACCCACAGGGGCCCCCAGGGGCTCCTGGCATCATCTGGGGACCCTGCTCTGGGTCAGGGCCTCAGGCTTGGGCTCTGACAACAGCCAAGGCGGCCTTTTCTGGCTTCCATCTGTCCCCTCTGCCTCCCTACCCCATCCCCTACCTGGCCAACACGCCTATGCCAGGACAGAGTGGCCCCATTATATTCATCCACAACTCTCTCCTATAAGTTTCCTCAGACCAGGAACCATCTTACCCATTCCCCATAGTCCCCTCATCTCTTCATGCCCTGCAGTCTTCTCAAGCTTTCTAATCTCTTCCCCACCAGGGAAAAAAGGTTTGGCAGAGTTTTCTTTAGTTTGCATTATGAAAACAATATTTATTTTTCTATGTCTAAATCTAAAGCTGTCCTATAATTTTGACTCTGTTTCATGTACACTACACATATTATGGAGGGGCGGGGGTGTTGATTAATTTTTGGGCCTTCTGCGAATTCCTTCCGCTAAAGACAAACCCACGAGAAAAGGGAGGCAGGGTGGGGAAAGGCCATAACCTTCCTAAGAGGGCTTCTTGCAGCCTCCAGCCAGCAATCTAAGGTGTCCAAGTCATAGAATCTATGTTCTTGAAAAGCTGGAAAAGATTAATTCAGTGCTGCAAACTGAAATCAGGGCCAGCACTGGCAGGAAGCTGAAAGCACAGTGACAGAGGAATTTAGGTCTCAGGTAGAGCCCCATGGCCCGGGTTTCTCTGAAGCAGCTTAGGAAGCTGAAAATGGCCCCTTAGTAAAGACCGGTTTTCTAGGATGGAACTTGGGGCAGAGGGCCACCGTTCTGCCTTCCCATCCCATGGGCTTGTCTCACATTGGTCCAAAGCAAGGGGCCAAGATGAGAGCCATCAGGCTGGGAGCTGGGAGAATCGGCAGAGCACCAAGGCCTATTAGCCTGAGAAAGAAACCACCGGGCTGGTGGTTTCAAGGACAGATGACCAGGTAAGTGCCGGCAGGCAAATAGACGGAGGCTGTACTGTAGCCACACTGACTACGGTTCACAGTGTCCCTCCCTCTTCCTGGTTGAAGAAACCCAGATCGTATGCGGGCATCACCCCTCAGGAAAGTCACCCATTCCCAGCTCAGGGACTAAGTTGAAGATTGGTCTTAGACAATCGAGGACTCTCATTCTCTTTTGCAAGTGATTGGTTCAAAGGTGGGCACGCGACCCAGTTTTGCCACTGAGATGTGAGGCGAGGCCAGCAAGGAAGCTTCTAGAAAATGTTTCCCCGCTTTTGAGAAGGAGGCCCCTTTCCCTGGATATTGTCAAGTCTGTTGACCCTCCTTTGGACTACATAATATGAAAAAATATACATTTCTTTTTTATCTGTTGGGGTTTCTGTAGTTGTTGTAAAAAGCATTCTAATTGATGCCCTTAGTAAACTTTTAAAGTGCTTGTATTGTCAGGAGACAATACAATCTTAGCCTAGGGAAACCTATGTGAAATGGAGAAAGACACCCCTCCTGCTCTGGGCAGACATGGTCCCTCATCCTCTCAGCAGAATGCCTTTGTGCAGTACACAAACTGGACAACTGTCCATGACAGCCCTGTTGCCAGAGAACGCCCAAGCATGGTCAACAGAGGCGCTAAGACAATGCTCAGAGACCCCCAAACCCAAACCTAGAAAATGGGTTGTTAAAGAGGCAGAAGAAGACCCAGTCCCCATGTCCATATTAGGGACCAAAAGAGGACAGTGGACAAAGGAGCTCTCTGCAGAGAGAGCGTACAGATGCGATCACAATGGCTGCATCCAGAAGCTGAGTGAGATTTCAGCTGTCTCCCTTTGGCAAGTGTGTTCAAGGTTGTATGTGGCACAGCTGTGTACATGGGAAGAAAAGTCTATGAGAGTTTATAGGGCAGCCAAGTGGCGGACTACAATGGGCATCTCTCATTTTCCCCATCCAGGATCCTCCTCCTGATAACAGCACCTCTTTTTCCCTTAGTGATGGCCCTTCCCAACTCTGAGGCCATGCAATTCAGGAAGATCTGGCCACCCACCCTCACCCCAGCTCTCGGGATGAGCCAACAAATGCCATCCCCCCCCCCAAGCCTTTTCAAGTTGGTTTTCTGTCACGCGTGGCTGAAAAAATGCATAGCTCATGCACAGACATTCTCTAACTTCGGAAGAGAACAGAGTGAGAGAGGGAACGCCTTCTAAAAGTAGATTGCCACAAACCCGTTATAAGATTTCAGGCAGGTCACTGCATATTCCTTGGGCGTCAGTGTCCTTGTCTATGAAATGAGGAACTTGGTCAGAATGACCTCCACGGTCCCTTCCAGCTGTGACACTTTATGATGCCAGGACATTTGTATTTTTTACCCCCAAACAAATGGCAGCTGTGTTGACTGGTCGGGGCAGAGGGTAGAGAAAGGCTTTCCAGGTTCGTGGGGAGTTCAGAATAGAGCCACGGGGGCACTGTGGCTGGGAATGGATAAGTGTTCCCAGGGCAGTGAAGGTCAAAAGGGGCCACACCCTGCTGAGGCTGCAGTGGGGGGTGGCAGGGCTTGGGGGTGGTTTGGAAGTCTGGGAGGAAGACGCTCTGACAGGGGCCTCTTGAAGTGCCCAGAGCCTGTTTGTTTGCTTTGAAGCTGCAGAACTGTCCCTTTAAAGTGGCCAAGGCGCTTGTCTCCAGGGTGGAGGCAGAATTTTTCTTTGAAGGAAGAGTCACCTGAAGAGAGAAGTGCTCCAGCGGGTCTTTAGGGAAGGTCAAGTCAGCGCTCACATCCCAGAGCAGAGAATGGAAGAGAGAGGAACGAAGCAGGAATGGCCCACAATGTCAAAGGAAAAATGGGGGAGGGGACGTTTGCTTCTCACTGAGCCTGAAGGAGGAGCTGGGGAGCACTTAGAGGGGCACTCCTGCACTTGGGGTGCAGGTTGGGCTGCCCCTGCTTCGGCCAGGGCCAGAGAGTAGGCAGAGAACAAAGGCTGTAGGGAGGGAGTGCCTTACAAAAGGACACGAACCAACTTCAACGCCAGCATCCAGTTGAGGTGTTTTATTTTCTACGTTGTCTTTCCTTTCTGTACTCCCGGGTAACATTTTGTGAAATGTGACCCTGAGGCCTCAGCGATGCCTTGGGGAATCGAGGGAGGTGAGCTGAGGGGCGGGAGGCCGGATGGAGAGCCGCAGAGCTTGGCGAAGCTGATTAGGGGAGAGCAAGAGGCCAACTGCAGACCCAGGGGCGAGAGGCCAGCGAGGGGAAAGCCGAAAGAATGGATTTGCAAACATGCCATCATTCCCAAGGATTGTCCCAAATACTTGAGAAAGGAGAGCCTCCGAAGGCTGAACAGATCGGAGTTGTCCTTCAGGACACCCCACCCCCGCCCCCCACCTCCCCCAGAAGACAGTTATTTGCCCCCAAGCTAGAGATGTGGTGTGGCTTCACCAGTGCGTGAAGCCTGACAGGCCTGATGCTCGCTGGATTCTATCTCAGCTTATACTAAGTGGCTGCCCTGGGCCTTACCCTTCTAAAGAAGCTTTTTTAAATTTGATTTTTTTTTTTTTTTTGGTCAAGTCCTTTTCTCTCTGGCCCTGTCTGCAGCTGTCAGAGGGGAGACAGAGGAGGATGGCGGAAGCACCCCGACCCCGGCCATTAGCCCATCACCCCGGGGCCTCTGCCTCCTGCCCTGCCCTCACACAGGCCTCTTTCACATTCCAAGCTGCCTGCCTGGTTTGTTTTTTTAAGAAAGCAATAACCGCAGCACATTCACTGTGGCTCTTTATGGCTTTCCATATGTATAATCGCTCTTTCTCTCTTCAGTTTTTCCAGTGTTTTTTTCTTTTACATAAATGCTCATAAATTTTACTGGTGAAAAGGATGAAAAACATACCTAAAAAGAGCAGTTTGTTGGGAGGGCAAAAAAACTAAAAACCAAGCCGAAATGTAGAAAAACTAAACTCCTGTTTAGCATTATATAGCTAAGAAATAAAAATTAAAAGGAAAAAAAAAAGTTCAGGTTTTATGAAAAAGAGATTATTCTGTAATATCTCCAAAACTTGCATGTCTCAGCCTTGAGCTTTTTTATTTGATAAACTTAACCACCCAGCCATCACCTCCAGGGGCTTGCTGAGAGACCCCTTCAGTCCTAGGAGGAAGACCCTTGGCTTGAGTCCCCTCTCAGCCATTAGGTTGATGTGGGACCTTAAGTTGGATGATCCAGAGACCCCAGTCTTTACAACTACAAAATGAGGGGGTTGGACTAGACGCTTTTAAAGGATGCTTTTATCTGGAAATTTCTATGGCTTTATGATTAAGTCAGTCACTTGATAAACTAGAGCAAAGAAACTGACTTGGAAGCCCTTTCAGAGCTCCTCTCCCCTCAGAGAAGCTGCAGCTGGCTCTGTGAACTGCCTTCCCAATATCCATTCTCCCCTTCCTCCTTACCAAGAGAACTCCAATTAGTATTTGGGGCAGCAAGGTGCCCAGCTACAAGGAGATTTCCCAGCGTCCCTTGCAGCTGGGCATGGCCATAAGTCCCCGCCCATAAGATGTAAGTTTAAGTCCATGGATTGGCCAACTCAGCTGGCTCACATTTTTTGCCCCTTGCCTTTCCTGCGGGGAATTCAGTCAGATGATGGAGATAGACATAGACTAGGGGTCAAAATGATGTCAGAGTGGCAAAACAGAACAGGCCAGAGGCGTCTAGGTCCCCAATGCTTCAAGGAGTTACTGAACTAGCCTGGGACTGCCCACCTCAGACATCTTGTTATGTGACAAAAATAAAACCCCAATCTGGTTAAGCCACCATAAAGTGGGTTTCTGTCACATGCTCATCCTAGTCCTAATTTGTACGAGGCTCAGGTAGAGAAACAATCCTTCTACAAATATTGAGTACCTACTGTGTGCCTGACAGAAATGAGTGAGGGTGAATAACCCAGACATGGCCCCTACCCTCACAGAGCTCTCAAACTAGTGGCAGAGACTAACAAGAAATAAAGAAGTCAATTGATTATTATCATTGCTAGCAAGGAAACAAGGTCTTGGAAAAGAAAATCTACTTCCAGCGGATGCGCTTAGAAGGACTAGTGAGGAAATAATATTGAAGAGGGAAATTTAAGGAGTGGACCGTTTGAAGGAATAGAGAGAGGAAAGAATACTCCAGACAAGGAGGAGCAGCACATGCAAAGGCCTCTAGTTGGGAAGCAGTTGAAGGAACTGAGAGGAAGCTGGCGAGGTTGGGGCTGGTGAGCAAGGTATGGAAACAAGGTGAGAGAGATAGGTAGGGCCGGCCACTCAGCACCTTGGGCTGGGTTCTATTTTAAGTCATTGATTTTAAGGAGAAAGTTGCCTTGTAACAAGGCACCCATCTGAAAAGCAGTTCCAGCCCCAACTTTTGTGGGCCTAGTGACCGCGCAGAGATCTGGCCAATGTGGCTGTGAGAACAAGTTCTTGGCCCATCATCCTCAGGGGCTTTGGGCATAAGACAAGTTCACTTGAAGGTCAGTCCCAGGCTTGCCGCTCAGTAGCTGCATGCCCTTTAACCACTGTTCTCTCTGGGATTCCTCATCTGAAAACAAGGACAATAAGGGTCCTACCTCTTAGAGCTGTGAGGGGGCAATGTGTTGAACCCCGTAGCTCATTTGGAACCATGCCTGGCACATAGTAAAGACTAGAAAAGATTTTATCATGTTCCGTGTCACTGGGAATCCCACCAGGGTCCAGATAATCCTGCCTCTAGGGCAATGCTTCTCCAACTTAGCATTTGCATCACTCAGGTCCCATCCCCAGAGGTTCGGATTCAGTAGATCTGGGATGGCCTGAGAATTTGCGTTTCCAACAAGCTCCCAGGCAATGCTGATGGTCTCGCAGACCACACCGCTTTAGTTCAGGGCCAAGGCAGCCCTTTGGGAATATTTTGGAAAAGGATGACCAGACTCTCATTATTGTAACCACCTTCAGATCTAATGGACCACGGCAGACTAATGGACCTGGAAGACTCGAACATGTTTCTTCTGGGAGGCAGAACAGCAGAGATCGGTGGACACCAGCCTTCAAGGGACCTCAGAACTCCTGGGGCAGATAGTAAAAGTACAGATTTGAGGGGTCCACCCCAGAGATTTCATTTCAGCCCAGGGGTGGAACCCTAAAATCTTCACATTAAATGACTCCCCATGGAGTCTGCTGCAGGTGTGGCCACAAGCTACACTTGGGCAAATGGTAACACAGTGGTTTTGGGGTTAGACAAACCCAAGTTCAAAAGTACTTCTATGACTTTCCATCCACATGGCCTTGCCTAGCCTTCAAAACCTGTCCAAACTGTGCTATCCTTATCTGAAAAATGAGCATATTAATACCAGTGATATCCTCTCCATGAGGATGAAATGAAAATATTGTGCAAAGGACCTAAAAGTTATAATCACAGACTCTAGAGTGCACAGGTATAATTTGCTTCATTTATCTATGATTTATATTAACTCAACCCATGACCTCGTATTTCTGCTAATAGCAGAAAAATTCAGCTTAGAAATTCTTGCTCACTCACACCACTTCCAGCTTAAAAACAAAACAAAACCTCAGTCACTTTGGGGAAACTGCAGCCTGAATTGGGATTCTCTCCTCCTCTTTGCTGGCTCTTCCCAGAGACTTCTTCGGGGTTCTTCCCAGGGGTTCTTCGGAGGTTCATTACTCTGACTTCCTCAGGCCTCCCACACAGCACAGCTGGTCCTGGGCATCTTCAGTCGATGCCCATTGTGTCATCATGGCCACTGGCCAAATGGCCCCTGGCCTTGGTCTTCTTGCCTCTACCTAGGCCTCCTCACCTGCAACCTTCTCGTTTATTTGCTCAGAGTTCTCAACAGCTGTACGCAGCCACACGGCTGCTTCTAATCACCTGTCAAGACCCCTTACTCCTCCATTGTTCATCTGCTGCTCAGGTACCATGTTGGGCATGGGCCTTACCGAGAGTTTTGATCACCGCTGATCCCCTCCTTCCACCAACGGGCCCAACCTGTGTGTTCTTTTACAGGTTGGGTGCGAAGGGGGAGTTGTTCTTATCTCACTCTGCTTTCTTCCCTGTCTGTGATTTTCAGTAAAACCCTGTATTCTGTGTCCTGCAGGGGCCAACTCACAGGTACTCACAATCCTTTTTCTTTTACAGCAACAACAAAAGGCTGGCCCTTGCAAATGAGAAGCTTTCTGCCACCTCAAACTTACACAAACCCATTCAATTCCCCAGTTGACCTCTTGCTTCTTGGGAGTATCTGCCCTCCCCCTAGGGCAGGGCAAATAGACCTACTAGCGCTGCTTCCCAATGGTGGGGGAAGGCAGAAGCTACAAGGAAACCTGAGGATGAGGGAAGACACCTCGTCTGCATCTCAAAATATGACCCCTTCCACAAAGTCCTTATTTAGTACATGGCCTGGCCTGAACTAACTGCTAAGTGCATGGCAGCCATGATGGCGATGGGGAATAGAAGGAGAAAAATTTCTTCTCCCTGGATGTGTGGTGCCTGGCTGTGCTGGCTCTGACTGGCTGTGACTCTGTGCTCCCAAGACCAGGAGAGCCTGTGAGGGCACCCAGGACGAGCAGGCCGCAAACCAGTGACTTGTTCACTTTCGTCTATGGAGGGAGTGGGTTCTTCTGAGTGGGGGCCTCTGAAATGTGCCCCTGCCCCCTACCCAGCTGGGGAGGTGAAACAGGAAGAGGTGGAGGTAGAGGCTGATCTCTATGCCAACCTTTCCCTCAAAATGCCAGAAATGCCACCATTCCTTCAGGTCAAACATTGTCCCCTGGGGTCATCTTAAAATGTAAATACCACCAAGAAAGAGGACAATGTGTCTATTAGTAGCTCCCAGGGGGTGTTATATGTTCTGGGCCCCTGAGAACACCACACGAGGGGGAAACGTAAGTCCTGGTGGCCCCATCCTCCTCCTGAATACCTGGGGGGTGGTGAAGAGGCATCTTAAGCGGCCCTACCCGCTCCTCAATGCTGAGCCCAAAGGGGCCAGGGCAACAGGCCACCAAGCCTGTTCCAACTTGTTTTTATTTTCTAAGGGGTCAGGGCAGGGGTGTGGGGGATGGGATGCATGACTTGGGGTTCAGGAGGAGCCCCAGGCCTTGGGGAAGAGGACGAGCCCTCCTGCTCTGCCCGTGTTGCTAGTAGAGATGATTCAGGGTGTGCTTCATGATGGTCCGAATTGCCATCCACACCTCCTGGGCCGTGGGGATGATCTCTGTGGCCGGCAGCAGGAAGCCATAGCGCCCAGTGTCCCGGAGCTCGAAGCTGAAGGAGTACTTGATGCCATTGTCGTAGGCCCAGTCAACGGTGATCCCGCTGGCCATATCTGGATACAAAACGGCAAAGAAATGCCCCTCCCCGCAAAGAACAGGGTGTGGCCACAAGGTACAGAGGTATCCTGAGTGGAAAGTGGGCCCTGGAGGCCAAACCCTCATCCATGCCAGACCAGGCCAAGCTTCTTGACTTAGGCCTCAACCTGGGCCACACCCTGCCCACCCAGCCCCTTCTCTGCCCCTGCAAAAAGAAAGCTCTTTGAGGCTACCAGACTTAGGCTCTTCCTCCTCCAGAGACATCACAGTAAGCCAGGCATTGGGAGCTGTGCATTTATTAATGCTGCCAAGAAACAGCTCCCTATTTCTCGGTACCACCATTCACCCTTCTAGCCAAGTGTGAACAGCAGCTCTGGCCCGGCCCAGCTAGATCTATGGCCCTGCCCTGTGGCAACCATGCCTGCCAGTCAACAAAGAGCCTGCATGCGCCTGATCCTAGGTGGATGTGATGCCTGAAGCAGGAGCCAGGGGAAGGGTCACACTCACAGAGGGTGCTGCTGACGCTGCCATAAATGTACTTGATCCCGTGGACCTCGTACAGGGCTTGCGCTGCATCCTTGGCAAGGTTGTACTGCAAGATGACATCCAGAGGATGAGAGGCTGAGGTTCCCCAGACCCCATACCCCAACCCTCACCTGCTGCTAAGGGCAGGAAGTTAGGAGTCCTGGAAGTTGAATGTGTAAATGGCTCTCATGAAAAGGAGTCACAGCACCTCCGACTTTGAACTTGATCACAGGTAAAAAACGAGTTCCCTGCTTCTCCCTACCATGGGGTTGATTGGTCCAGATCCTTGTTTCCAAGTAAGGGCCTGAACCCTCTAGGAGTCTGCTGGGTGCCTCCCCCAACCTCTAAGCAGCCAATCTCACCAACTCCTCCTGGTTTGAAACAGGCTCCAACAGGTGGCCATAAGGGTACATGAGCATCTGAGAGTAGCTATGGATGGAGATCAGAGTCTTGATGTTCCCATGGGCCGTGATGAAGTCCACTATGGCAGCCACCTCTGGCTCTGAGTGAGGGTAAGGCCCGCGATAAGTCTCTGAGCAGGGATTGTCGTTAGAACCATTTCCTGGAAGTAAAATAAAAATCACCCAAAGGGTTTGAATTCCAGGCTTGGGAAAGACAGTGCTCACAGAATTTCCATGCATTCCTTTACATTTCCCAGACTCCTTTGCAGTTTGGTTGAGTCCACGTGACTACTTCTGACCAATGAGAATGTGAGCAGTAATGATATGTCACCTCAAGTTTGAGGCTGTTAAGAGCAAGCGTGCTTCTCCACACTGTCTTCTGTCTGTGTGGTTGGAAGCAAAAAACTCTAGATGGAGGAAACCACCATACAGCTTGTCACCATTGGAAAGGAGCTGCCAAGGGCAGTCACCTACCCACATTGGAATCCAAGTGCATGAAAAACAAACTTTTATCGTGTTTAGCCACTGAGATTTGGAGGAATATTTGTTACTGCTGCATACCCTAGTCCAGGGGTCAGCAAACTGCGGCACATGAGCCACATGCGGCTCTTTGGGTATGTACATGTGGCTCTGAAGTAAAATTGAAAATGAAAATAGGTCCGGCCGAGTGGCGCGATGGTTAAGAACTGGCTTGGGATGCCAGAGGGCCCCGGTTCGGATCCCACATATGAGGGCCAGTGACACTGCCCTCTACAGCTAAGATGCTGAACAACAGCTCAACCTGGAGCTGGGCTGCCGTGAGTCGCCGGCGACGGCGTGGGCTGCAGTCCCTGTGGCAGTGGATTGCCATGGGCTACCATGTGTGGCCAGCAGCCAGCGTGAGCGGCCAGCAGCCGCAGTGAGCGGCCGTCCAGAAGCCGGCAACTGATCTGCCTCGCCAGAGAAGAGCGCAATGATGGTGCCAACTTGGGCCAGTGAAGCAACATCCTCCACAACTAGATTGAAGAACAAAACGACAGCAACTTGTCTGTTCCCCTTTCCCCAATTCCCCAGCACTGTTCCCATCCCCCCAATTCCCCAATAAAAAAATCTTAAAAAAAAAAAAAGAAGAAAATGAAAATAAAACTATCATAGTTTCACTTATAAAAACTTTAAAGGATATTATTCACATAATGGTGATTTCATTTGTTTTATGGCTCTCGAATAATTTTTAAATTGTTGCGCGGGACAGGATTGGCTCTTCCATCTCAAAAGTTTGCCGACCCCTGGCCTAGTCTAATATATCAGAAGAGTGTAACCACACTGCGACTTAACAACTCTGTAGCCCTGTAGGGAGCTCCTTTGGCTTGTGCTTTGGTTGCGTCCTGACTGTGGCTCCATTAGAAAGGCGGGCTCCCTCAGCAGTTGCCCCAGAGGTCTCTAGGTCTCCACCCCAGGTTTCCCTATAAGCAGCAAACCCCTTTGAGTTGACCCTTCTCTGCCGACCCTTCACCGCCATGGGGAAGGCTTGGATCAGTTGAATGCTCGGACTTCAGTGTCTACTCAAGCTTTGCCACAGCCACTGCCCCAGAAGCAACATGGACCTGGGGGCCAAGAGAAAAGAGAAGAGATGCCCATAGTTGTCCAAGGCTGGTCTGGGAACCAGAGGTGCAATGAGCCTTTGAAAACTCTTCTTGGGGACCTAAGTTGGGGGAGGGGGCAAAGAGAAACTGTGCTTCTATTTTGTTCACAAATTTAATTTGTTCCCATCTCCTAGATTATTTGCTCCCCATCACTTTTTATCCTCTTTCCCTCCTATTCTGCTCTTCTCCCCTTCCCAAAGGCCATGTCATGGAGGACTGGGCTGGGCCAGTAAGATTTGTGGGTTAGGGACGCCTTTGGAAAGAGCCATCCGCATTCCTCCTCTCACTCCTCCTCCCTGAAAATGCCTGCACACAAGCCTGGTCCAGGGGCCAGGGATCGCCCCAACTTCTGAAGCCTCCTGAGGATGCCAGAGCACCTCTCTTGACCCCCAGGGCAGTGGGCTGGCCGGAGAGCTGAGTGGCTAGGTCCATGGGCCAGTTCAGATGCTGCTCTAGAATTGCTGCAAACTGCTCCTCCCCAAGGGTGTAGGTGAGGGCAGCGTGGGTAGGAGGGACGATTTACAGATTACTCATTACGCTGCAATTAAATTAAAGCATTAATAAAACCATAAACAAAACCTTCCTGCCTGAGTCACCAACCCAGACACATGCTATTTCTGGCCAGAGGCAAGTCTGTCACCGGGGAGCACATACCCTCGTGGTCTGCAGGTCCTCACCTGGGGTGGGGACCCAGGTTAGAAGGGGATGCATCGCCTGCAGGGCAGAAGGGGGTGAGGAGCAGGCCCAGTCTACAGTCAGCCCAGCTAACAGTGGCCCTGATTGTTGTGTCTGCCGGCCGCTTCTGCACCTGCTACACTTGATGAATGACAAATAGCAACAGATGAGCAGAGCGGGGGAGGCTGAAAGCTTTGTCTGCGTTTGCAGCCCACGCATGGAAAGCAGTTCCCCTGCCAACGACCAGGTGGCTTTGCCCAAATATGGAGAAACACTTCAGGCCATTAGTTCTGGTTTGAGCTAAGCAGAATAAACTAATCTTCCCCTGACCAAATGGGAATTAGCTGCCTGCCTCTCTCTGACGTGCACCAAGTCCTCTGAACCTGCCTGTTTCACAAGTACCTGCTAATGGATTCATTAGCTCTTTATTTTTCCTTCTCTAAAAATGTAATTTGTAGCAAGGGGAAATCTCGGGAAGGACATGGTAAATTATTAAAAGCAGTAATCTTTGGGTAGTGGGATTATGGGAGCTTTTTGTCCCCTCTGGGCTTTTTTTTTTTCTTTCCATATATATATTTGTTTTGTTTTGTTTTTACATTGTGTATGTACTGATATTTTTTTTTCCTGTGGTGAAACCACAAAAGTTATTTTCTTTAAGAGGTAATTTACCTTTCTACTAGCCAGTCCATCTCAGGGTCTGTGGGTTCTCACTTCAGCCGGTTCTGAGGGGCCCACATGGATGACCACTTGGGACAAGTGTCTGGTCATTTAGAGGAGGAAATGCCTAATTTTACACGGTTGTGTTCCCTTACACAGCAATTACACACAGAGTCCCAGAATCTTCAGAAACCCCCACACTCTGGGCTGGCGGGGGGCAGTAGGCGGCTTCTTTCGGGATGCTTCATTTTTCAATGAGAGCTGCCCTTATTTTTCAATGAAAACAGACTCAAAGAAGTCAGATTTTCAAAGTGATGGGCACCCAGATCTAGAATGTCCTATCTCGTTGGTTTAGCCACCCATCTGTGAATCTGCTTTTCAACCGCATTGGCACTGTCTCCTGTGGCACCAAACCCTGATCCCCCAATATAGTGTGGGTGCCACATCTGGGGGTGGAAGGCTGTGCCCATGCAACGCTTTACTCTGGACACTGACCCAGCATCCTACCCATCAAATTGCTGCATCCCAGGTCCACATACTCATCTTTCTGGAGGCCTCAGTTTCTTCATCTAATGACCATGCCCCTGGTAAAGGCGATAATCAGGAAAAACACCAAGAAACTTGGGGGGTGGGGAGGAAACTGCCCTCTCCTCCTTGGAATCATACAGCCTGGCAAATAACCCCAGCCCATCAGCCCAGGGTTACAAAGTAATTGGGTCAAAAATTAAAACCAGGGGGCGACCGGGGAGTTCAGTTGGCTAGAGCATGTGCTCTGAGCAACAGGGCTGCCGGTTCGATTCCCACATAGGCCAGTGAGCTGCGCCCTCTGCAACTAGATTGAAGACCATGACTTGAGCTGAGCTGCCAGTGGGCAGCTGATGGCTCAGTTGGTTGGAGTGCGTGCTCTTGACAACCAGATTGCTTGTTTGACTCCCGCATGGGATGGTGGGCCCACAGCTAGATTGAAAACGGCAACTGGACTTGGAGCTGAGCTGCGCCCTCCACAACTAAGACTGAAGGACAACAACTTGATTTGGAGCTGATGGGTCCTGGAAAAAACACATTGTTTCCCCAAAAAACGCATTGTTCCCCAATAGAGTTTAAAAAAAATTTTTTTTTAATTAAAAAAATAAATTCCAGGTTCAAGTCAATGTTGATAGGGGTTGGCTTATTCTATCTATTCTATCTGAACTACTGTCCTGGCCTCCCCAGAGGGCAAACGTCTTGGTCACAGCTCTCAGGAAATGCGTTTGGAGGCATTTTGTTGTGGCATGCTCCCTTTAAGGGAGGACTGGAGATATTGGAGGGGCTCCACCACATCTGGGTTTTAATCAAACATCAAGGCTGCGTGCGTTGTGCCTCTTTAAGCCCTTCTCTGCCATATTTAGGATTTGACACTTGCAGTTAGTCCCCATGCAGGACACACATGCATAACCTCTCCCCATATCCCACGGCCAATCCTAGGCACGTGCTTGCCTGTCCCTGGCCATGACTCACTTGCACGAGCCAACTATGACGTTGCCTCCCAAGTTAGGAGTCAAGATAACCTGACTGTGTGGAGACATTCCAGGTCCAGAATGCCATACCTCCAAAGCCTGATCTCCAGTTCCTATTAAGGTCCACGCCAATGCAGAAGATCCCGCGTCTGTTGGACTTGTTCTTCCGCCACAAGCGGTTCTGAGAAAGCCCAGGGCAGATGACGTCATTCACGGGGCCCATTCCCAGGAGTGGGAGCCCCTGACATCCTGGCCTAGGAAGGGGGGTCTGGTGGGACAGGGAGAAGGAAAGAGAAGGAATGGCCAGGGCAGGATGGGACAGGCAGGCAGCTGGGCCAAGGCTACAGATCAGACTCTTTGTGGTTAAAGCTGGGGTATCGGCAGAGGCCTGAGCACAAGCTGCCAACAGTGTGGCCTTCCCTGGGCAGCAGTGGGGAGGTCAGAGGGCCAGAGCCACAGCTACAGTCCTGAGCAGCCCGCCTGCCCCAGTGAGACTCTCTGAAAGGACCCCCCAGGGAACCTCAGCCCAGTTTCCCAAAGCCAACGTGACCTTTCCTCTACCCTCCCAGAGCTGGCCCCTGCCCCCTGCTCCCTCCTTCCCAAACGCCCTCACCATGCTGTGGGTAAAAGCAAACCCATCGGGGTTGGAGACGATCTCCATGAAGATGTCCATGGACATCAGTATGTTTGTCAGGATGCGGTCTTCGCCGTATTCACTGACAATCTGCAAGAAAGGACAGAGTGGGTACAGGGTGAGGGATGGGAGGCCCTGCTGGGCTCTCCTCCAAGGTGGAGCAGGACCTTTGCACAGCCAGGGACCGCAGGCAGGGGTGGCATCAGGCCATCTGGTACACCCTTCATGCAGAACCGAAGGCTCGGATTTTGAACAACTAGAAGGCAGAGGATAGGTGTGGGCTCTGTGCTGCAAAAGGCCAGCTGGCAGCTGTTCCAAAGGCCAGGAGGGTCGAGTGCAGCCTGAGTTTAAAAAAACCAAGTATACTATTTCAGCTGGAGGTGCCCTTAAATAGTTGACCAGCCCTGGCCCCCTGCCCCAGCCCCCATCATCCATGCTGACCTTCTTAGCAGTCCAGATGCCAGTGGCATGGGTGACCCACTCCCGGGAGTGAATTCCAGTGTCCATCCAGATGGCCGGGCGCTGAGACCCTCCAGTGCTGAACTGGGGAAAAGCACCGGGCCCCAAACACATGTGAACAAAGACACCCCCGGTGCTGTCCCTAGGCTGCCTAGAAGGAGGCCCCGGATATACCCTCACTGCCTGAGGAGGCCCTAGGTGCCCTAGAGGGAGTTGTATGTGCAGGGACCTGTGCATGAGCCTGTGAAGTGCACAGGTGTGGGCTCCCTGGCAACAGAGTGGTACCCCTGGAGAGCAAAGTGATGCAGCCAGAAGCACAGAACTTCCCAGGTTTGAAAGTATCTTAGATACGTCTAGTGCTTCCCAAACTTTACAGGGTGTGAGAATCTCCAGGGGATCTTACTAAAATGCAGATTCTGATTCAGTAGTTCTAGGGAGGAGTCTGAGGCTGGGCTGTTTCTACCAAGCTCCTGGGAAGGCTGCTGCTGACTGAGCGTGTGAGGACCGCTCTGACTAACAAGGTCTTAGACAAATGAAAGAGAGAACACAGCCCCTGGGGGAAATCGAAGCAAGGCCAGACGAAGTCAGGTCCCAAGTTCTGTGAGGCCACTTGACCCTTTGGAAGAGTTCCCCAGGGCATTGCAGAGAGCAGCAGTGCCTGTCTTCTCTGAGAGCTGGACATTTAGTGCCCTGCGTGGTCCACGCTCCTAAGTGCCCTTCAGGGCACTTACTAAGAATTGATTTCTGGTGGGTTCGACACTCTATCCTGCCTCCTTCATGACCAAGGGCACTGCTGCGGCCAGGTTTACTCAAACTCTGCTTCCAGTGGCCCTTGTGAAGGGCTGGGAGGCCCCCCCATAGACCCATGCCTATCTGTGGGGCTGCCTGCGCCAGACGACCTCGACGTACCTCTCTTCCCTTTAAACAGGTAAAGCAACTGACAAAACAGGAAGGAGGCTGACTCACCTGTATCACACCCCAAGTCCAGGGTGACAACTGTCACTCTGCCAGTCCATCTCCTTAGCAACCCTCCCACCTACTTCCTGACTTGGGACGTGCCAGGTTACTACACTGTCACCTGTCCATACCTACCAGGGTGGGTCCCTGAAGACCACACATCCAAAGCTTATGGGTCACCCCAGGACAGGAATATACACATCTCTCTCCCTAAAACTCCCGCCCAGCCATGACCCCACATGAGCTGTATCTTATACCAGAAGCTCTTGCTGTAGAGTTTAGTGGTCAACACTGCTAGCTTTTACCTTTAGGACAAGAATGGACCGATTTTCAAAGCTGTGGCCAATTTGAATTTTTGAGACAATATCTGAATGCTCAGTTACAAAGTTGTCCATCCAGCTATATATCTGTAAGGAATGAAGTTCATCAGACAGGCAGTTAAGCAGAGGGGAGGTGAACCCCAGGGTCTCTCCAATTGTTCTCCTTCCCCCACCCCACCCTCCTTAACGCTTTCCCACCTCCCTTGAGGATCTAAAAGAACCCAGATCAAAACTGCAAGAAGATGCCCTCCAGGCCTAAAGCAATGAGCTGTGGTTGGTGTGGATTCCCGGGCTTCTCACCACTGTGCAGAGCTAAGCCTTTGCCTGGAAGAACAGCATGTGCTGAGCCTACTCGGTCCCCAGGTTAGCCTGCAAGGCTCTCTCTGGTTGGAACCTCCTCGTTTCCATTCTCTTGGTTCATTCAACCCACTTGGCAGGCCTCATAGACCTCGCCATGTTGTTTTTGGTCTTTTCACCCCTTTTAGATTCTAAGCCCCTTGGAGGCAGGCTTATTTCTCTCTGACATCAATAAATACTGAGAGGCTTTATTAATTCATTCTATTTTTTCAACACATAGCACTGAATTAACAAATAGGTGAAAGAAAATGGATTCCCTATTACAGGCCTTATGAAATGAGAAGAGCAACGATGACAATGACAGAGCGGACACTACCAATAATGTCACATCCTTTAGATGGAAATGGGACCTTGCCTCGAGTTTCTTTCTGAACTGGGCATCTCTGAGTTCTCCTTGCATATTTTCCTTTATAAACAACTCACAGTGAGTCATGTCTGCCCTACCTGGCTATAACTGCGGCCATGAATTTTCTCCAACTGAAAGCAATTCTGTTTTTTCTAGAAAATGGCTCCAATGTCCCTGGCTTCCTGCCCCTTCTACATTCCAGTACCCACAGCTGGGGCCACTTACCACCAGGAATGGTCATGGAGAGGTTAAGACCCCTGGATCCCTAGCCAGCGTGTTGGATATGAGGTGCCTCTACCTACCCTAGTGTTCTACCTATTAGACCCCTTACTCTGGTCCTGAGCCTACCATGGGCTGTACTGTTGAGCCACGGTCCCCTCTATCCAAATCCTGGCTTCTGGGCCTCTGAAGCTGACTGTCAACCTAACTGACCTTCACCCAGTGTCTGCTCTGTACTCCCCAAGTTGTCAGTTCATGATCTCCCATAGACCCCAGAGTCCTTCACTAGTCTGTGCCTGAGTCTGGAGAGCCTGAGGGCCCAAAGGGAAGACAGAGACCAGGCAGACCCACCTCCTCCAGGGTGTGGTAAGAGGAGTAACTGAAGCTACTGGTGCTGCGCTCCAGCCGGCGGGATTTCGCCATGGCCTCTCTCTCCTGATCCAGCAGCACCTAGGGGAACAGGAGCACATGTTGGAAAGGGAGGGAGGGCTGGGCCAGGCCTGCCTCTTCTGAGCCCTGTGTGCACCCAGACAGCATGAACACAGGAGAATAAGCCACCACGAGTCTGAGCTGCACACGAGGAGGAGGCGCCAGGTCTCTGGGGGATTCTTCAGCTTGAGGAGCTGGCGTTCATAATGCCACTTCCCAAATGAGCACAGGGCAAGGAGTCTGGACAGCTGTGTTCTACGTCTGCCACTGCCACTAACTTGCTGTGGAACCTTGGCCTTTGTTTCCATTAGCTCGAAAACCAAGACAGCAGTACCCGCCTGCCTTGCTCATCTCACAGGAGGAAAAGCAGTAATGGATATGAAAGTGTTTCGAAAAAAGTGCTCATGGTCTACTGCCAACGTTGCTTTTGCCGCTCTAGACACTCTGTTGAGTCGAGGACCACCCTGAGCCATGAACACTGACCACCCCCGCCCGGGGGAACACAGGGCTCTGGGACCCACAACATTCAACCTACGCCCAGGAAGTGGCCTAGACAATTGGTGTCCAAGCCACTTAGAAAGCCAGTTCAAATCATTTGGATTAAAGTGCCAACGGACATTCACTCGCCATCTTAACTGCCTCTTAAGCACAAGCATGGGTGAGACAAAAGCAATGTCCTTGGGTTTCAATTTAGATTTGGCACTTAATCTTCACGTTGTACTTCCCACTGATCATAGAGAGAGCAAGATGGTGCCTGGGTTGGGTCGACCTCCCACATCATCTTGGGACATTTTTCCCGTCTTGGGACTCAGTGAGGCGGGCAGGTACCTTTCCATTGGCACCCAGAGCACTGACTATGCAGCATCATGGGGAGTACCTGGGCCCTTCTGCCACAACGGATGCTGGGAAAACAGAAGACCTCCACCCCACGTTGCCCTGGTTTGCAGCTCTCTCTGAGTCACAAGTTAAGTCTTTGATGATGCCTTGCTTCAGGCCAGAGCCTTTTCATTTACCAGGCATCTTTCTCTTCATTATACCATTTGCTCTGATTAAATGACTAGATGACAAGGGCAGGAATTAACTAATCATGTTTTAGAGATTAGCAGATTAGAGAAGTAAGGGACTTGATGCAAAGTTAACAAGGGACAGAGTTGAGATAAGAACCCAGATATCTTAGTTCTTAGCTTTGGGTTCCTTAAGGCTAGCTAGCTAGCTAGCTATCAAAATGAATAGGAATAACAAACATACATAGATATGTATCTCCCTCTGTGTGTGTGTGTGTGCGCGCGCGCGCACACACACACACACAAAGAGCAAACAAATGTGTAAAATGTTAACAGGTTTGAAAAGTCCATCCTACTATTCTTGCAATTAAAAAGTGTTTTTAAAATAATGAAAGAGCAATACCCTGAGCATAGAACAACAAGACACTAAAATGCCAAAAAATATACCAAAATGCTAACAATGCCTGTTAGGATAGAAGGATCATGATTTTAAACACTTGTTTTCTTTTCTCTGTTTCTACATTTTGGCAATGTCCTTATACTACCACTTTAGTAAGTAAAGTCTTCCAAATGAATAGATAATACTAAAACAAAACCAAAAAGCCCTGGTGGCTAAAATACAGCAGCAGCCATGGGGCCTTCAGTCCTGGGCTGGAAGAGAACCCCTCCCACCCCAATCTGCTGCAGACCAGGCACTGCCGCCCCCGTCAGCGCACTCACCAGCTTGTTCAAATTCACAGATTTAAAAATAGGACTGGCAATCCATGTTTGGGGCTCATTTTAGTTTCTTTTTCAGCACAAACTACATGCTAGGCAATTGTACTTGCAGTGTTTTCTGGCTGAACTGGCTGGGCTGGGCACAGCCTCACTGGGCAAAGCTGGGGTTGCTGGTTGAGTGAGAGATGGCTGGGGGAGGCTTGAACTTAGCTGGCACAAGCACCACCCTGGGATGCTCTCACAAGAATGAAGTTGAAGGGTCCATAGGGCTAACTTCCTGGGACTGGTGGAGGGCCTGAGGCGGTGGGTGAAGGTGCAGAACAGGGCGGGAGAAATGGAAAGGACCGGAGGGCTCAGCTCTTCCCGAAGACAGCTCCCAGAAGCCTGTCCTTTGCTCCACGCAACAGCTTGGAGGCAAATGGGAAGTCGGCACCAAACTGCAAATATCTTTCCAAACACCCTCCCAGGCTTGTGAATGGATATGACACCAGCGTACAAATTGGGAATACTCAGCTCTCACAGCTGGGCCCCAATTCCAGGAACATTAATCTACCCTGGCCTGAAAAAGACACAGATGTTTGCTCCCTTCACAGGTCGGAGGGAAGGGGATGGGAGAGCTAAGAATGCAGTCTTGCCACAGGCTGAGGAATGCCTAATTACAGCCCTGTCAGGCTTCTCAGAGGAAAAAAAACCCCTCAGAAGTAATCCATTTGCCTCTCTGGAAGCCATAACTGGGTGTGAATTAATTTATGACAAGGGCAAGGAAGGATGGGGGCATTGAAGTAAAGAATAGCACCTCCAGGAAGGGGGGTGGGAAGAGACGGAGGCCCCCCAAAAGAGAAGTTGACACCTGAAGGGAACTGGCGCTGGGCAGCTGAAGTCCAGCCACAGACATAAAATGGACACAGCTCATAGAAACTGCGTGGGGAGCAGAAGATAGGCTCTAACCCCAGCTCTGTGCTGACAGCAGTCACCTCTCCTCATATGTCTCTGGCCTTGTCTTCCAGGCCCAATGTTTGCGAGTGCATTGGAAACAGCAGTTGCATGGCTGGTGGCAACTTCAGTCCATGCCCACATGGGGGGTTGCAGGGTAGCTACAGGTCTGGGGGTGTTAGAATGGACCCCCTGAGATGTCAAGGCTGAACTGTGACTTCACTGCCCAAAAGGCAAAATTAAAACACTGCACAAACAACAATGACAACCTCTGAGGAGGCAGATGACACAGGAGCAAAGTGTGTGGGGCCCAGAGCCAGGCTGTCTTGGATGAACTCCTGACGCTGTCGCTGACCTGGGCCAATGACTAATTTCTCTGTGCCTCAGTTTACTAAATTACTCATTTCTCTGTGCCTTCATACAATGGGGATCATGGTAGCACATACTTTAGCACATACTTCAAAGTGTTCTTGTGAGGATTAAAAGGGTTAATACATGTAAAATGCTTAGAACATTGCCTGGCATGTAGTGAATACTAGCTATGATGACGATGATGATGACAGTGACAGTGACAGGACAACAGCAGTAACGCCCCGGGTGACTCCAGGACTCTGGGATGGAACAATCACGGGAAGACATGACCAGGGCATCTGGATTCCTCCAGAGGGAAGCGGTGTGTGTAGGATTTGGGATGGCGGAGTGCCCTCACTAATGGTCACTTGGGTGAGTCAGTTAGCACCTGCTCCTCCCAAGGGCCGACAGAGGGGCCTGTCCTTCTGTCCCCGCCCCCTTGGTGCAGCCAAACTCTGCCTCTCCCTCAGGGCCTTGTCCATGACTGCTTCCTCCTCCTCTCGCCTTCTTCTGCTCTCACACCTATCTTTCCTCCTTTTCTCTAGAGGTGCCTCCCACCCCCACCCCAGCCAAACAAGTGCTTGTTGAGCACACACTGGGCACTAAAAAGATGGCGGCCAGCAAAACAAAACTGCCTGTCCTCCTGGAGCTTACAGACTGGTAGGGGAGACAATAAACAAGATAAGTAAACCACGAAGGATATTAGAAGGCAGTAAGTGCCAAGGAGAGAAGTGATGCAACCAAAAGAGGGAGGGAGTTGGGGGAGTGTGCAGAAGGGTGCATTTAAAGTAAGGTGACAAGGTGACATGTGAATAAAGGTTTTGAAAGCAGTGAATAAGCCACGCAGATATCTGCAGAAATAGCGCTCCAGTTAGAAGGACCAGCACATGCAAAGGCCCTGAGGTGTGAATCTAGTCAAGGGCCCTGAGGCAGCAATGGGCTAAGCAAGTTGGAGGAACATCAAGGGAGGTCCAGGTGTCTGAAGCAGAGTGATCAAGGGAAGACCAGTCAGTGTTGAGGGGTGGGACATAGGTCATGTAGAGCCTTACAGCCATTTGGAGGACTTGGGCTTTTACCCTGGGAGAGTTGGGAGGTCATTGAGGGTTTCAACCACAGGAGTGACATAATCCGACTTAAATATTTTTAAAGGACCCTCTGGTTGCTATTCTGAGACTAGGCAATAAGGAGGCAAGGGTGGAATCAAGATGAGCAGCTAGAAAACTGCTGGAATAATCCAGGTGAGGACTGATGGAGTGTTAGCTCAGGTGGTAACACAGGGTATGGTAAGATATCATTTTGAATGGGATGTGCTGATGGATTGGATGTGGGATGTGAGAAAGGAGTCAAGGATGACTCCAGGTTTCTTCTCTGAGTGACCGGAAGGATAGAGCTGCCATTTCCTGAGAAGGGGAAGGCCATGGAGGAGTGGTACACGGGTCCAGGGGCATTCAGTTTGGACCTGTGAAGTTTGAGATGCCCATCAGACACCCAGTGGGCAGCCAGGTATATGAGTCTGGAGTTCAGGTCAAATATATGCGTCAGGCTGGAGCTACAAATATGGAGTATTCAGGGGGTTGAAGGTATTCAATGCCATGATCCTGGAAGAGGGGGCGGAGCAGAGGTCAAAGGACAGAGCAGAGAGACAGGAAAACAACACGCAAAGGAGCAGCCAGTAAGATGGAATAACCCGGAGGAGTGCAGATTTCCAGGTTTGCTCTACAGGGAAGTGGAGAAATGGGGTGATAGCTGGAGGTAGGGGGGAAGGGATCAAGAGAGGATTTTTTTTTTAAGATGAGAGAAATAATTCTATATTTGTATGCTAATAGGAGTGATTCAGTAGAGAGGGGAAAATTGGTGAAGCAATATTTACACTAAATTGTATTTTGCTCTAGCTGCTGGGAGCATGGGTGATTTTTGTTTTCTCCTTTGTGCTTTTCCCCTATTTTCCAAATTACCTAACATGAATATTTATTAATTTTGTAATCAGAAAAAAAAAAGCCATTAAAATCCACAGAGCTGATTGCTCAAGTGAAGCTTTTCCACAGTGACTCATCCTAGGGAATGGTGGGGGGAAAATAAAAGAAAAAGAAAAAAAAACAACCAAAGGGCTGAAATGAACGAGAAGGTAAAGAAAAATTAAATGCAAATAGAGCTCCCTCGGAATCTGATCATTTCTTGACTGGCCCACTGCAATTTTCTCACCACCCTCCTGCTTGTGAGTCTCTCCCTGCTCCTGTCCCCAACTCCACATTGTCACTGTCGCAGGGGGTTTTCTTCAATGCAAATCTGATCAGTCAGAGACCTCCATTGGCTCCTCCCTGGTTTGGGGGATAAAACCTCAACCTCTTCACCGGGCAGAGGGTGCCCTTTGTGGTCTGAATTGTCCTCATTGCCAATGGGGGGGTGCTTCCTCTCCCAGTCCCCCTTCTGGGCTCTTCAGCCACACCGTAATTACCCGCCTTTTCAGAGCGACTTGCGGGGCCTCTTGTACTCGCTCCCATAGCAACCTGCTCCTCTCCATCCGTGCACTCATCCACTCCTTTGTAATCACTGATTTACTCCCTCCGCTCCCCACCCTCCATGACACTCCAGCTCCCCTGGATACAAGCACCTGATTTTTTATCTTTGTATGTCCAGCACCTTGCCCGATATCCAGCACACAGTAGGTATCTCTGTATCTGTGGGTGGAACGAATGGACCCACCTCTTCTATCTCACGCTTCGCTCTGATCATGGCAGAGGAGGTGGTGGTGGTGGGGGGAGGGCATCACTCCTCAAAACTCTGCAGTGCCTCTGGCCAAAGCAAAAGCCAGCTTCAAGGCTTTTACGCCCCTCTCAGCCTAGGACTATGGAGCAAACACACCCTCTTCCTTTCCTTCTCACACCCACTAATTCAACTAACATTTATTAAGCCCCAACTAAGTGGCAGGTCCTATAGTAGGTGCAGGAGTATAAAGATGAATACAGGACACGACCCTGGACCTTGAGGGACTCAGAGGAGGGAGCTTTGGAGACAAAGGCCAGCACGTATTAATAAGGTCCCTCTCTGGGCATGCTCTTCCTGAACCTGCCAATAGAATAATTCAGCAGGCAGTTGTTAAGGGCCCACCACACAGGAGATACTATGCCAAAAACAGGCTGAGAAGATCCAGGAGACAGGGAGACATCAGGGCTATGCATCAATAGCTAAAACATAAAACCGGAGGCCAGCAACCTGCGTGGTGCGAGGCGCTTCCTCTCCTGTTAGCACCTCTGAGCTTTCCTCCCCTGGACACCTTCCCCCATCATCACCACAAATCAACTGAACACAGCCCCCCCACCCCCCCGGCTCCCTCCAAGCCAAAATCTGATCTCAAGTCTGACAATCAGAGCTTGATGCGCTGCAGACAGTGCGAGTGCGAGTTGGTGAAAATCCTGCCTGGGTGGCTTGGGACCCAGAGTCCAGGGCATTTTACTGAGACAGAATAAAAAACCCCCCCTCCCCCGTCCCCACCTTCAGGGATTCCAAGGCTGGGGACCACGGAAAAGGGCAGGCTGATGAGAAAGAGGACAACCAGCTCCAGAGGAGCCAGTGGGAAGGCTCAGAGGTGCCTCTGGGGCCATTCCTGAAGTGCGGAAATCAACAGGAAAATTTTAGAGACCTCTTCATATCTGTTTGCCAAATGCTGCGGGGGTTTCCAAGGGGGTGGGAGCGGGAGCAAGGAAATGCGAACTTCGAAATGCAGGCATGGGCTACAATGAGAACTGAGTGCTCTTCTTTTGATGTGGTGGCCTCTCTCGTCTGTGGGAGTTGCCCCATTTTTGTTTGTGGGGATTTAATTAGAGAAATAGCCCACCCCCACCCCACACACACATGTTGAGCGGGAAACAGATGTGCCTGATGAGGATAAAGGTCTTTGAATGGACCTGAGTGCCCCAGCCCTGTGCTTGCATGGGAAAGGAATGCTGCCTAATGCGTTTATCCCTTGGCATGTGGTGTCAAGTGTGTGGAGACTGTGTTCCCACACTCCCAGCCCTGAGAGGAGATTAGCTGTAGCACAACGTGGTTGAGAATGACTCTCTGAGGATACAATTCCACAGGTACACAGCAGCCATCATTGGCAGAGGGGGGCAGCAGGAGGCCTAACCAACATGGGGTGCCCCCCAAAATCGCTTAAGAAAGGGGGCTCCTTGGTATATCCTTGAAGACAGAACAATTGAAATAGGATTTCACAGTGTTCAGAAAAGACGCTGTCAGGGGCAGCAAGTGGGGGTGGGGAGATTGGGGTGCCTAGGATAGTCTCCCTTCACCTTACCAAAAGGGGGTTTCTCTGGGAAAAACCTGCCTGGGAGAAGTGTCCAGTAGGACACCCCGATGGTGGAGGTGGGGGCGGGGGGCAGCGGCAGGCCTGCATCTGGGCTCACACTGTCTCCTCTGGAATGAAGCAATTCTCTAGTATTGGATGGTTGAGCTACAACAGGGACAGGAGGGAGCCCTTCAGAGCAGCCTCCCCCACAGGCCCTAAAAAAAAAGCCTGAGCTATTTCCTGTTTCCCTTCTCCACTTTTAGCCCTGGATGGTTTTCCTCCATGTTGGGCCCAAAGCAGGAAGGGATGGGGAAGGCGAGACCCCAGCTGCAGGGCCGCGGTGGGACCTCACCTGGATGTCCTTTATCATGATGCTGTAAGCAAGACCGTGAGACTCCAGATAAGCTTTGACATCTTTCAGTTCAGAGGAAGGAACTCTCATGTCCACGGGGAGGCTGGGCCTGGCTGGGCCACGCCAGAAGTCCACCTTGTTCACAAAGGAAAGAAAACTAGGCAGGTTTATCATGTCCTTACCCACAATCCTGTGGGCACCCTGGGGAACCGGGTGGTCTTCTCTCACATAGATCAAAGGGCTCCAGTTCCACAGTGAAAACCCTAAGGCCAAGGAGAAAGACCGGCACAAACAAACAAAATCCCCAAGTCACTGAGGTTCTATCCCGAATTTCAAGCGTCTTTTTCTCACAGCCCCACTTATGCATTGCAACTTCACCCAGATCCAAAGAGCCCAAAACAGTTGCTAAAGGTGACAGATCAACATCTGGAACATTAACGTGGACAAGAACCCCGGTCAGAAGAGAGAGACATCACTGCCCCCAAACCTGGAAAGGTAGGAAAGGCCTAACCTGGATCCTTAGGTCATCTGAACGTTACATCTACTTTTCGATGTATAAAATGGAGAGAATTATTATAAGGTGTTATGAGCCCTGGTTGATAGGGACACTCATACAAATAGGAACAAGGACTTTGGGCCACATCCAAATATATCTGGTTGTTTCAAAGGCCCTCAAACAAAACCCTTCTATTATTAATAGTTGAAGAAAAGATTTTCCATTGTGGAATACTTGCAGAAGACAAATATTCTCAGAAACAAATGTTCAGGCTGACAGGGACGAGCCCAAATAAAACACAGGTTTGCCAAGCTAAGCCCTTTCAATTGACAAACAGATGTGCCCAGTCTGCGTGCTGCATGGCATCTTACCCAGAGACATATGTACCCCCTGTGTGGCTGCAGGACATTCCAGCTGTGTTCAGAGCAGCCCCTGACAGGGTCTGCTCAGCAGTCCCACATCCTGGACACAGGGGAAAGCCAACGAGAACTGCCCAGCCTTCTGGGCAAGTGTTTCCAACCTTTCCTGAAAAGGAGCCACAGTTGATTTTTCCACAACGCTGTGATCTTTGGCAGAGCCATCAGAGGGCAGGTTTGGAGTGGAGGGAGCAAGACAGGGAGCCAAAGGAGCAAGCCACTGTAAGGGAGGGGTCCTCACCTTCTGGGGCTTCAGGCCCTCCAGATCCCTGAGAAGTGAAAGCTGCTTCTCATCTTTAGCCAGGACTCGAAGAACCTGGTCTCTGGAAAGACAAGGGAAAGGCAGAGGGAGCTGCTAAGAGGGATTCCTGGAAAGGCTGTGCTGCTTGGAGGAGGCAGCATGGAGAAGAGACCCTGCCGAAGGGACCTGACACAAAGGCTGGGGGGCACTTTGTCACCAGGAGGTGGAAGGACCCCTGAGCAAAAGGACTTGTAGCTCTGGGAAGCACTCAACCCAGGACCAGCAATCTCTCCAGCCCCAAGGACAGACCACCCAGGACACTAAATAAAACCTGTCCATGCTACTGATGAACGCAGTGTCAAGACAGGAGAGGAAAGATGGTGAAGGAATGTGTGGGATGGAGGAGCGTGTGAGAACAAGAGGAATGAAGGGGAGAGAGGAATAGATACAGGGTGACCGGGACCAGTGGTGGTCCCAAGTGCTCTTCGTACTTCGGTCCCAAGGCCATGGTCTGTCCAAACCCCATCCCCCCACCTGCCTTCTCCCAAGAGCTTGAGGACATGGAAGGGGAGATCAGTCTCACTCTGCCCTACAGAAGCTGAGCTTCTTCCTGGGAAGGGGAAGTTGTGGAACTGAGCAGCCTGCAGTGTGACCTCTGGGGTCTGATGGCCTGGGATGGTGTTGGCTCCCTCCAGAACCAGCTCTGAGACCGTAACAATGAGCCCACTCTCTAAGCTTGTGTCCCCTCTTCTTTACTATGGAGATACTACAGAGTATCTACCCTATGGGATCTTTGGGTCACTGAGAAATCATGTCCACAGATGGCCTGGTGTATAATACTGGTGCCTGCTGTTGTTTAATGGAAGACAATATGTATATGTCAATCTATGGTAACATACATAGTATTTTTTTTGGGGGGGGGATTACTAACTCCTTTAAGAATCTGAGGAAAGCTATAAATCCTTCCCCCAGAAAAAAAGTACATATACAAAACATTTTACATATGATAGAACCCTGAAAATTTACCCACGGGCCCCAGATTAAGAACTCTGGGTTTGGGGAGGGACAATAATACAGCTGTGTGTCCTGCCCTTGAGCACGACAGTGGGAGGTTATGGAGTTGGGGGTGGGTTCAGGATGGAAACCGAAGTCCTGACTCCGCTCCTTGATCAGATCCCAGCAGGACAGCCACCTCCCCACTAGAACACCCAGGCCCCCAGCTCCCAACAGTTCTCCCTCTTTCTGTGGAGCAGCCACTCACCCTGTGAAATTCATTTGGCCCAAAGCTGCTGCCAGAATAAAGCTGCAGACCAGGAGCGTCCGCCTGTCCACAGGGGACAGCCCAGGGCCCGTGCCCCCTCCAGGCGTGCCCTGCATGCTTCTCCCTCCAGACGAGCTTCAGGGGCGCTCCTCACGCACGGGCATGGCCCAGACCTCAGGACAGCACCGCACCTAACGGCCGGCAGGGCCGGCCTGAGGATGGGCTTGTTAGGCTCTCTCCAGGGAGACCCAGCCTGTGACTCCCATATGCTGGGCCTTGAGAGAGCCAGGGCCGCCCCTCCCCACTTCTAGGCAAACCCTCTCCTGGGAAGGGGAGAGGGAAGAGAGAAAGAGGAAGACAAAGCCCATAGCTTTCTTCCCTCCCTGGAGGTCCGCTGGGCCAGCTTCTTGTGAACGAGAAACCCTCCATCTCCAGAGAAAGATGAGAATAGCTAGAGGTCCAAGGAAACCACTCCTTGCCTCCCTCCTCATTTAATTCTTTCCTTTTCACCCTCTTTCTCCCTCCCCATCCACTCACACTTTCCTGGGGGGGGGGAGGGATGGGAGAGCTGGGGTCGGGGTTGGGGGGCACCATTGAAAGAACGCAGATTTAGAGAAAGAATTGGGTGCTTACTTCTTCTCTAAAAGATCTGAGACCTAATCTCTCTACATCTCAGTGTACTCATCAGTCAAATGGGGTTAATAACAGCTCCCTACCTCACAGGGTTTGGACGGGGGCGGGGGGTATTAGATGAGACAACCTTGGTGACTTGGCTTGGCAAAGCCTGCAAAATGTAAAGTATTGTTATTTCAAAGGCGTTAACTCTCAGTCACAGCTGCATCTTAGGTCAATACTCCAATTGTAATGGGGAGAAGGGGAACAGGAAAGAATGGAGAGGGGAACAAAGGAAATAAATATGGTATGAGAAGGGAAAATTCCCTTTTTTCTATCTTCAGGTGGTCACCATTATGCTGAGACAGGTAATGCATTTTCTGCTGGACAGGAAGGTCCCTGCAGTCATTATTATAGTTCTCAACAGATAGCAGAGTCAGTTTTTCAGTCCTGCTAAAGCCCCACACACAACCCTCTTTATGGTCTGGGAATAGTAAGAATAGAGCAGAGACCAGCACACAACGCAGCCATATTGGAAGGAGAAATGGAAAGGTGATGCCTAAATGGTAAACGATGAATCTAACAGAAAATCCACAGGCGTTGGAGGAAAGGCAGAGAGCAAATCCAACACAGTTGTTCAGCAGAGGATGTCAACAAAAGGCCACTTAACGGTCACCGGTGATTCTCAGAAGCCCCCACCCCATCCATACCTTCCCAGAGTGGCCAATTAACTGGCCATGTGTGCAGAGAGGGAAGCTCTTTTATTACTAGATTGCCCTACTCCCACACCCCACTGGACCGACTCCATTATTTTGTGGTTCAGCTGTTCAGATATGCCAAACTCTCCTAGAACCCTGGCTTTGGGAACTCTCAGACAGAAACAATAGCAAAAGGTTTAAGGACCTAAAAAAGAAGGCAATTACGCTTTCCACCCAAGTAACATTCAGCGTGAGTAGAAATAGGAACAAAAGAATATATTAGTAAATAATAACTCAGGGATTTAAAAGAAAAAAAGTGGGGGTGGTGCTAGTCCTTAAAAGTACCCAGCATCTTCTTGTTTAAAAGCATCATTTTAAGTCACTAATAATAAGACAACTATCACTGCGCTTGGTTTAGGGGTGGGGGAGAGAAAGCTAGAGAGAGAGCGGTCAAGAACAAGAGCAAAAGAGAAAGAGAGAGAAGCAGTTAAGAATTCTCGAGAATTCTATGGCAGCTCTTCCAATAGAACTTTCTATGACAATGGAAATGTTCTATCTCTGCACTGTCCAATAGGATAACCATGAGCCTTGCAATGTGGCTATGGAATGACCGGTTAGCTCAGTTGGTTAGAGCATCGTGCTGATAATGCCAAGGTTGCTGGTTCGATCCCTGCGTGGGCCTCTGTGAGCTGTGCCCTCCATAAAAGAGTCAACTATGCCATTGTAGCATGAAAGCAATGTGTAACCAATGGCCATGGCTGTTCCCCAATTAAAAAAAAAAATTAAAAACAAAGGTTTAAAAAAAAGAAAGAAATGTGGCTAGTGTAACTGAGGAATTAAAATTTTAATTTTGTTTAATTTTAACTAATTTTAAAGTTAATTAATGGCTAATGGCTACTGTATTCATAGCATAATGCTACTGGAATTCATCAGCCCTTAAAGCATTGCCTCCAATGGCTGGATCTGAAGCAGAGACATACAGCTGTGCTTGATCTAACACCTAATATTGGCTTCCCCCTTGAAACTAATTACTCATCTAATCATATATTCAATAAATGTCTACTGAATACCTACTACATGCCAGGCACTTGCTAAGGTCTGGGAATAAAACGGGGATACAGACCGAGCCCTTAGATTTTTTTTTTTTAAGATTTTATTGGGGAATTGGGAGAGTGGAACAATGCTGGGGAATCAGGGGAAGGAGAACAGACAAGTTGCTGTTGTTTTGTTCTTCAGTCTAGTTGTGGAGGATGTGGCTTCACTGGCTTATGTTGGTATTATCATTGCACTCTTCCGGGGTGAGGCAGATCAGTCGCCAGCCTCTGGACAGCCGCTCACTGCGGCTGCTGGCCGCTCACGCTGGCTCCCGGCTACACAGGGTAGCCCATGGCAACCCACTGCAGCAGGGGACTGCAGCCTACACCGACGCAGGCGACCCATGGCAGACCAGCCCCAGGTTGAGCGGCCGTTCACCATCTTAGCTGCAGAGGGCAATGTCACTGGCCCTCATATGTGGGATCCGAACCGGGGCCCTCTGGCATCCCAAGCCAGTTCTTAACCAATGCGCCACTCGGCAGGCCCCAAGCCCTTAGATTTTTTAACGGGTAAGTAGACTATTTAAAGAGCATATAAATAATTGTAAAAATATAGCTAGTGTGTGTGCTACAAAGAAAAGGTCCAATGTGCCATGAAGACAGGTGACATGGACTGCATTTATACCCAAGAGACAGAGAGAGTTTCCCTAAAGAAGTTTTGTTGGAGGACTTTTACCTCCTACAAGTGAGTGGATTAGATACCTAAACACTCATGTTCAAATGAAACAACTAAAATGCTGAATAAAATATTTCTAATAATTTTTTTAATGTATCACATGGTTGGCATGACAGTAAGACTCTACAGATTCCAAAAAGAAGCAAAAGCCAGACACCGGAGCAGTACGAGCAACTTCCTTGAAGATGAAATGAGAAAAAGGGGGGAAAATAAAGTAAAAGAAAATCAAAAACTAAGGTTAAAACAAGTAATTTTTGAAAGTAGGACAAGTAGAAAGGCCATAAAGAGAAACTCATTGCGCTAAATGTAAATGGGTTTAACTCGCCTGTAAAAGACAAAAAATTTATCAGGATAATTTTTTTTAAACCTGGCTATATGTACTCACTCACAAGAGATATGCTTAAAGTATAAGAACAAAGAGAAACCAAAAGTCAAAGAGAGAAAAAAAGATACTCCAGGTAAATGCTGATCAAAAGAAAGCATCTGTAGAGTTATTGATAATATAAAGTAAAATAAATTTTAAGGCAAAAGGTATTATCAGAAATAAGAGGGTCACTACATAACAATACTACTTTCCATTTCTCAAGAATATCTAATATATAAAAATATTTGAGAACAATTCTAACAAATAATGTGCAGTCTTTCCTGGAGACAATCATAAAACTTTATTGAAAAATGTTAAGGTTCTAAACGAATCTAAAAATATACTGCATTTTTGGAATAGAAAACTCATGTCATCAAATTATCCATTCTTCCCAAATAGCTCTAGAGATTCAATGTAATTCCAGTCAAAAGCCCAGCAGTTCTACAAAACTTCATAACTGATAAAAACATATATGCAAACACAAAGATCCTAAGAAGAGGCAAAACAATTCTGAAGAAGAAAACTATCTATACCAGACATTAAGGTATGCTATAAAGCTAGAGTAATTGAGCCAGTAGCTCATTGGCACAGATAGACAAATAGAACATAACACAGAAACAAACCCAAACATACTGGAAACTTCATTTTGTGCAGACTTGGCACGGCAGATCATTGTGGAACAAACTAGTCAATAAATGTTACTGGGACAATTATAGATCTATATGGGGAAGATGGAATCCCTATCACACCACCTACCAAAATCAGTTCCAGGTAGATTAAAATAATTAAATGTATAAGGCAAAAAACTATAATACACTTAGAAGACAATATAGAGAATATTTTTATGACTTTGGGCTGTCATCATTTTTCTAAATAGGACACGAAAGGGAAAAAACAAAACAAAACATAAAGGTTCCCATAAAGGGAAAGATGGATAAAATCAACTGCATTAAAATTAAGAACTTCTGTCCTTAAGACTCTTTACAAAGAGAAGAAAGCAGACCTCAAACTGAGAGGACATATTTATAACATATAAAACTGGTCAACAATTAATATCCATGACATACAAAGAACATCTGTGAATTAATTTTTTAATGAGCAAAAAACATGAAAGGCCATTTCACAGAAGAGGACTTACAAATGATCTATAAACATGAAAGTTAGTAATCAGGGAAAAGCAAATTAAAACCACAATGAAATTATGTCACACCAACAAATTGGCAAAAATCAAAGTCAGTCTATACCCAGTGTTGGATGGGGGAGCAACAGAATCTCTCATCCACCCCTGGTGGAGCTTTAAATTGGTAAAATTGCTTTGGAAAACAGTTGTTACCTAGTAAAGTTTAAAATGTACTACATGCCCTATGCCCTGACAATTCCACTCCCAGCTAAATGGCCTGGAGGAAATCCTGTGCACGTGCAGCAAGATACATGAACAAGGAGCAGCCGGTTAGCTCAGTTGGTTAGAGCACAGTGCTCATAACACCAAGGTTGCCGGTTCGATTCCCACATGGGCCAAGGAACCGCGCCCTCCACAACTAGATTGAAACAACTACTTGACTTGGAGCTGATGGGTCCTGGAAAAACAGACTGTTCCCCAATAAAATAAAAAATATATGAACAAGACTGGATAAATGGAGACAGAGTTGAACTCATACAGAGTACGACAGAATAGAGAAAATGAGT